AACCCCCACAAACTGTAAGCTAAATAAACCTTTCCTTCCTTATCTTTGATTGTTGGGTATTTTGTCTCAGCAGTGAGAGAAAAGTAACTAAGACAGCTGTGTAGGAGCCACCTGTTGTCTCCTTCTGCCCTGAATCTAGAGGTCTTGAATACTCTGAAGCCTTTTCCCTACTAATTTTCAAATATCTCTTTCTTCAGACCACAGCAGCAAGAGGTCTAAGTGATGGGGTGGGGAGGAGTAGAAGACTGGTTAATGTGTTAAAGTTACGCCCTTCTGCTTCTGAAACCACCAGGTGGAGCTGGATGTGGAGTCCTAGCATTGCAGACCCTAAAGGCCCAGAGGGGAGAGTGCTGACTGCGCTCGAGTAACAGTAATGACAACCACAGTGACGACAGTGATACTGGCAGTGTACTCACAGCACACGAAGCTCTGTGGTCATTAACTTGTTAAATCCTGACAGCAACCTTAAAGATAGTAGAGGCCCATTTATCAGTTGAAAAAGTCAGGATGTGTTCAGGCTCAAATATCCCATAAGAGATGTACCTACCACTCTAGCCCCTCAGAGGAGAAACCCAAGACCTGGGAGAGATGTGGCTCCAAGTCCCCCTGCCGCAGTTCTGATGCTGTTCCATGCTCAGCATGCCCATGTAGGTTTGTGGATAATTTCTCACATCAGAAAGAGAGAGAGGGTGGTGGGGAGACCTGTTTTCAGAAGACACACATTTGCAGCTGTTCTTTTTTAGCACAAGTTCGGCATCCCTGGGGACCCCTGGTGGCCTTCACACTTCAGACTTCTTTCTCCTTCCCTGGGCCCCATGTATCCCTTGAGATACTTTGTTATTTAAGATGCTTTTTTACTCCAAATTCATTGTTACTTGAGATACTTTGTTACTGTTATCTTTTTGTTAGTTGAGGTACTTTGTGCCAAGCATGCTCCCTTCCCTGGACATTGAGACCAACTCTATCCTGCTGGGTTGGAAATATTTTGGGGAAAACACACTATTTAGCAAGACTGATGTTTTGAGACAGAGTCTTGCTGTGTAACCCAGCCAGGCTTCAAACTCATGATCTGCCTACCTCGTCCTCCCAAGAGCTGGGATCATAGGCATAAGCCATCATACTGGTTATGAAGCATGTTTAAAAGCCGGAGCTATTAACACATTCTGAGACCTTAGTCTGTCAGGACCTGCAGTTTCATCCTTGGACAACTGGGGTTAGTCCTGGGTTTGGTCCATGAAGGTGATAGTGGTGGTGGTTTTACCTTCAGGACTATAGCCACTGCTGTCGTCCCAGTGGCACACGTGAGAAAGGTGTTGCTCAGAGTGGCCAGAAACTGCAGTCACACTTCTTGTGGGTTCACAGGGCTGGGCTCCACTTTGACTCCTGTGTACTCCGGGCCCAAGAATTCATGGTGCCTGACGCCAAGGGCCCTACTGGTCCCTTGCTGGAGCCCTGCTATGTGAAGGCCATGGAAGGGTGATCAACCCTTGCTCAGACCCCTGCTGGGCCTCATCCATGTCCCCGGGAGCCGCCGAACCCTACAGAGCATAAAGAGCTGGTGTTTTCATGATTAAACTGTGGGATGAGGGCCAAGTTTGTGCGAGGAAATCAACTCTTTCCATAATTCATGGCATGGCAGAAAGACAGGTGAATCCCTCTTTGAGAGGTTAGCAGGCCATGCGACATTTAGGAGGCCGCTCCAGGAAGCTGGTCCCACACAATCTTCCCCAGTCCTGGCACCCGTAACAATGCAGGGGGGTGACTTCAATCTGCCATTGATGACTTCAGCCAAGTTAAGAGCCATGGGGCTTGGTCATGGGTTAAAGCAAAGCTCCCTCCAGCTAAATCTCATCTGTCACCTGCTGCTGCCAGGAGCCACACCCATATCATCTGCAGCTTGGGCCACAGGGACAGAGTTGAGCAGCTGTGACAGAGACAACAAAGCTCCCAAAGCCTTGAATATTTACTGTTTGGATCTGTGCACACAAAGTCTGCCAACCCCTGGACTGCGAGAGTGTCTGCTTTGCCAGCAGCCTCCCAGCTTCCAGGATGGTCCTCAAAGCCATGAGTCCATGCCTACAAACAAGCACACCCTTCTCTGGAGCAGGACTTCTCTGGGGCATCCCACGGCCCCCAGCCCAGCACAAGTTCTGACCACTTGGACGCTTGTTAATTGGCAGGTGTCATTTGATCTGTTGTTTGTTGAACTAGTGTGTGTGTGTGTGTGTGTGTGTGTGTGTGTGTGTGTGTGTGTTACTGGAGACTGAATATAGGGGCTTTGCACTGAGTTACATCCTCAGTTCTTTTGTCCTTTTTATTTGGAGACAAGATCTCACTAAGTCAGGGTTGCTCAGGCTGGACTTGAACTTGCATTACTCCTAATAGGCCTCCCGGAGGGCTGGGATTACTGGTATGTGTCACCACAACTGGCTTCAATGTGGGGCTTTTAGGTGACACAATAGGGTGACTAGGAAGGGCAGGTACCACACTGGGGTGGGCTGGCTGTCTCCTCAGCCTCTCCAGGCTGGAGGCGCTCAGCTGAGCCCATGAAGATGCCTAGCACAAGGTCTGGAGCAAACAAATCTGTAGATAAGAAACAAAGCTGATCTAGGAATTGGTTCAAGGCCAAGAAGAACCCAGGAGGATGTGGGAGGTGTGTACGCGGCAGTCATGGTATCCACTGACCCAGACGCTTTGGCTGCATCTAAGCAGATGTTTCGGATGAAGGTGGGGCTCAGTTACCCAGCCTCTCACCCAGAATCAGAATCCGAGCCTGGTGTTGTGCCTGGGATCCTGTAGTCTTGAGCTCCTCTGATGATGGGACACTCACTACCTTGCTGGCTGGGAAAGTGGAAACTTTGGACAATTCTGAATGACTCCTAATAGGGTACTGAATATGAATTATTCTTTCATATATAGCTATGAGGAACAAAACAATGAATGAGATGTGTATGTGCAGACTTAGAAAAAAGTTGAAAATGTCTGGGTAAAAAAAAATCAGGTTACAGAAACAGTATGTTTTATTCAAACCTCTTTCTATCTTAAAAAAAAAATTAGCTCTAAAAAGATAAGCACCAAACTACTACACAAAGGTGTCTTTATAGGGGGAACTTTTGCTGATTCTATGGTGTAGGATTTTTGTTAGTTTGTCAGGAAAATAAGAAAGATATTTCCATTTAAGGACAAAAATAAAAATGAAAAATAGCCCATGCCTGTTATCCCAGCACCGTTGGAGGCTGAAGACTTAGCAAAACCCTGTCTCAGGGAGAAGACCCTAGGTTCCAACCTGGTACCACAAAGAAAGAAGGAAAGAAAAAAAGAAGAAAATAAACTCTTGCATTCGTTGGTGGGGAAAAAGCACTGCTCCAGAAATTAGAACACGACTGGGTCCTTGTGTGTACATGCAATTGGCTTTGGAAGAGTTTTAATGTGACTGAGGGTGACATGCAGTTAATGAAAGCCCCAGATGAGAACACAGGCTTCGGCACAGTGAAGGCTCTGATTCAGTCCCCTTCCCCAGGGACACACTCCATCACCTTTTGGTGCCTATCTTGCCAGATGTGGGGGGTTCTTTGGTGCATAATTCTGAAATTATGCACACCTTGTGTAATATATACATTATTTTTTATACACTTAAGTATTTGTGCACAATCCAGGATCACCTTTTTGTGAGAGCAGTGGTTTTTTTCCTCCCTTCCCAACCTTGCACACCTTCAAGGCCTCCTTTTGTTCATCAGTAAAATGGAAATACTGACTCCAGCTTGAGGGGTCACGGTGGAGCCCCACGGAACAAAGTGGGAGATGACACCATCAACCGTTCCCCAAAAAGGAGGTGCTGTGCTTTTTCAGCCTGCTCTTTCTTATATGGGCTTCTGTGGGCTTTATTAGTAGATATTTACAGTACGTAATGATCGCAAACATCGTGCTGCTGTATGTACATAACACGTCTTAACTCTTTATTTCCCATTCCTCTTCCCTTCCTCTTCCTTCACCTCTTGGTCCTCTTTCCATTTACAAAAGACTTATCTCCTTGGGGACTGGGGATTTAGCTCAGCGGCATAAGCGCCTGCCTTGCAAGCAGGCGGTCGTGAGTTTGATCCCCGGTACCGATAAAAATGAAAAAGACAAAAAAAAAAAAGACTTATCTCCTTGTTTCCTATTATCTATCTTTTATTTTTCTGTTTAATTTATTTATATTGGGGCCTTCCGTATAAACTTATATGTCTGATTTATTTCACCTAGCATTATGGAGTCAAGGTGCATCTGGTTTCCTACAAAATGATGCAAGTTTGTCCTTCTTAATGGCAGTGTAGTAATCCACTGTATGTAAATACATTTTCTTTATTCATTCATCTGTTGGTGGTCATATAGGCTGCTTCTAAAATTCAGTTATTATGAATTTGCTGCTATAAACATGGGTATGCATGTATCACTGTTATATGGTGCTTTTAACTCTTTTAGGAAGAGGTTTAGAAGGGGAATAGCTGGGCCAAATGAATTTTTAGAGTTAATTTTTAGAGAAATCTTCACTTTCATTTCCATAGTGGTGTCTTGGTTTACACCCCTACCCACAGTGTAGAGGGGCTTTGTCCCGCGACCTTGCTAGCATTTGTTATTATTTTATTTCTTGATGATGATCAGCCATTCCCTCTGGAGTAAGGTGGAATCTCAGCATTGTTTTAGTTTTTAATCTCTGTAATGGCCAAGGTGTTTTACATTTTTTCCTGGTCATTCATACTTCTTTCAAGAAATGTCTATCCATTTCACTTACCCATTTTTTTATTGGGTCTGTTATTTGGGAGAATCTTTTGTTTTTTTAGTTCTTTGTATATTCTAGATATCTAAAGGAGTAGCTAGTAATTTTTCCCTGTTCTGTAGAGTTTTTTCCTTTGCCGTGCAGCAGTGTTCTAATTTGATATGACCCCACCTGTTGATCTTGATGCTATTTCATGTGCACTTGGGTTCTGCTTAGGAATTTTTTTGTTTTGTTCTTTCTCCAGGATTGAGAAGGGGGATGGGAGTGAGGAGGAGGACTTCCGCTTGGACTGCCGCCACGAGAGATATCCCACGCGTAAGTGCCTCCTTTACTACACCTGCTGCTATGAACTGTCCTCTGTTGGAGAACAAGGACCTGGATGGGGCAGGCCAGCCTCTTGCTGCTCCCGCCTCCTCCTGCAGCCCCAGCTCATGCGGGGAAATCGAGGCTGAGATCTCTGTGTAGTGAGTCTTCTGCACCCAGCAGCCACGGCCGGTCCTCCCAGGGAGACCAGGATGCTGAAACCGGAGGAGGAGGGAGACCAGAAAGATTTAAAGGCAGATGGTGACACCTCAGCTGTAGTCCAGGCCCAGCTAAGCCACTGGCCCGAGGGCCAACAGTCCAGGGTACAATCAGCAAGGGTGATGGTGGAGAAAATTTGTTTGAGCCAATGACTCTCTTGGCCCTTAGAAAATAGTGACTTCATCTCTTCACCATGGGGGACACCAAAAGGAACGATCCAGGACGTTCACGTGGGGACCAGAAAGCACAGGGAGGCAGAAGGAGTGAAAGAAGGTTGCTCAAAAATAAAAGCGAACGAGTGTGCGATCAAATTGAAAATGCTCACATCCCAGTGGCACCCGCTGAATGCCCACCACATGCTTCTGTCTTTACCCCACCTTCCCTCTGACCCAGCCCCTATAGGCAGGATGCTCTCCACGGTTAGCAGAGAGGTGGAGGGCCTGTCCAGGGTCACACAGCCTAGTCAGTGTCCTGACCACACTGCTCAGATCTTTTAGGGGGCCCTGTGACTTCTGCTCTGTCTGGGACACCTGAGAGGCTTCCCCACCTTCCTACCTGTAGGGGGGGCCGGCATACAGGGGAGCAGGATAAGGAGTCAGTGACCACAAGCTTAGCAGCTGTCCCCTCTTCTCCTTCCTCTGGGCCACAGTTCTTCCCTTCCCAGTTTCCAAACAACAGCAGCAGACACTGAAACTTGAGGCTGTCTGACCGCATTCCACGAGAAATGACTCCGCTGGGAAGGAGCAGAGGGGAGAGATGAGTCTTCATTGCGAAGGCAGAGGGCTGCTGTGGAAGCAGAGGACCCAAGGAAGTGGCCAAAGTGCCAGTGACTGCTTGGGGACCAGAAGCAGCCCTCAGGTGGAGCCATACCTCTAGTATTGGGGCAGAGTCTGGGGGCCAGTGGCCAGCCTGGTACCCGGGATAAGCCCAGCAGTTTTGCTGTGGTCATTATTTTATCCCTGTGGCACTTGATTGTGGCACCAGAGTGGGAGAGGGAAGTGGTGGGCAGGGGAGCTCTGCTGGCAGCGCTGTGGGAGTGTTAGTGCAGGCTGGCCTACCGGCAGAGTCCCCACCCCGTGATGAGACTATGTGGCGGGGATGGAGTGTGCAGATGCACCAGCAGGGTCATCAGGGGAAGGGACACCAGGAAGGAAGGGGCAGGTGGCCAGATAGAGGCATGACATTGGGACCATTACACAGGCACCTGTGTTACCCTGCAGTGGTGACAGGAACTCTTTGGGGTCACCATGAATGGCTGCTGGGGTGGGGGTGCATGCACTCTGTGCAGTGGGGGTCGGCAGTGTGGATTAGGGAGTGAGGAGGAGCTTGAGAGCTGCACGGGACGTTTTTGCTGGAGCAGTCGAGGGCATAGTGTCACTGCCTGATGGAAGAGACACGGGGACACTGTGTCCCTGCTGGGCATCAGGGCAGCAGCTGCCCGGTCAGAGTCCCCAGGACTGCAGTGAGGGGAGGCAGACAGCTGGAGCCAGGTGACTGCTGGGATGATGTAAGTAAGTGGGTCGATTACAGACATGGGGTCCTAGCACTCCAGGGGCTCAGGGCAGCCAGAAAGCTGTGGGGCAGGGGCTGTGAAAGCTGTCAGTTGTCCCAGAAGGTTTTCTAGATCCAGGCTTCTCAGCAGGGAGAAGAGTACTCTCTGCCCGTGTGCCTTAGGCCTGACTTAGATGACCACATTTCCCCAGGTACCTCAAGGTGCTGCAGAGATCTCAATTAACACGATGAGGAAGAAACCCATTCTTAGAGGGCTGCTTTTGTGCCAATACAAAGTCATTCACTCAGGGCTGGGGATTTAGCTCAGCGGCATAAGCGCCTGCCTTGCAAGCAGGCAGTCGTGAGTTCAATCCCTGGTACCGATAAAAACGAAAAAGACAAAAAAAAAAAAAAAGTCATTCACTCACCCATTAACTCAGAGGCTTTGAGTTCTAGGAAATGAGCCCAAGGTCCTAGGAATACACAGAGATAAGTACAGCAGGTCTGGGCCCCGAGAGTGTTCCCAGGTCAGTGAGACCCAAGTCACTGACTGCATCACATGGCCAGGTTGTAATGGGGACACCATGGGCTCTGTGATGCCAAGACTCAATGTCTCATCCAGCTCAGGGTGGGATGGGGCAGAGCAGGAGGAGCTCTTGCTAGAGGCAGTCACCTTGGCCAAAACTCTGGCCCTAATGTGGAGCCAGCCCTGAGAAGAGCTCAGTCCCACAGATCTGTCTGGTTATGTCTCCCCTCATCTCTGCTCTGAAGACTTCGCATTTATGCACTTGACCCTAAATGCAGCCCTGCTCTACAGACAGGAGCTCAGAGGCCTGGGGAGTTCAGGAGCACGGCTTATCCAACATCATGTGGCCAGGAAGTAGCAGAGCTGGGATCTGAGTTCAGGCAGGGTTCCCACCCCTGGGCCACTAGGATGAGCTGCCCACACTCACTGGCCAATGACTCCACTTGTCGGTCCCTGGGTAGGGCACTGAGGGTGTGGGCAGAGCCAGACCTGGTCTCAGTCCTCATGGAGCACAAGGCCTAGAGAAGCAGCCTGTCAGGCCGACCAGAGGATGACACAATCCCCAGAATTCGGCCTCTAGCTGCTGGTGGGTTTTCTGCAAGAAAATATTTTGGAAAAGCTGGGTTGAGTTTTGCAATATTTCTGCGTGGAGCAGCTGCTCAGCTCCTGCGAGGGCCCGGCTTGCTGGCAAGAGGAACGGGGGAGGAGGCCTGTCAGGGAGCCCACGTTATTAAACATTTGCTGTGTGCGAGTCTGTGCTAAGCATTTCACTGCCGGGCTGATCCTGCCCAAGAAGGAGGGCTTCCTCCTCTTGTGTGGATGGAAGAACTGAGGTTCTGACTCTGCTGAGATCTCTGGTCCACTTGGTAAAACTCAGTTTGACGTTTGAATCTCTCCCCTTCCCCTGGGCAAGAGGCCATTCCTGCTCACACTCCACAGGTCCCTGACTTCACCTCCTCTTCCTCTCTCATGTGGATCCAGCCAGCAACTGCATCATGCAAAACTCATCCCCTCCCGTGGGTCTTTGCATGGCTGTTCTCTCTGCCAAGATGCTCTCCCTCTAAATCCCTGCGTGGCTCCCTTTGCCCCATCCTTAAATCCCAGCTGAAAAGCACTTGCTTCAAGGAGCTCCCTCTTCACTGCGCCAGCACCTGGCCACCTGCATTGCTTTACAGTACTTGTCTCTTTTTGAAATTGCCTTTCATGGCTGTGCACTTCGTTCATGTTCTGTTGCTTCTCTCCGCTGCACTCCGTGAGAACAGACATCAAACTTGCCCATTCTGTTCCTAGCTGTTTCTTGAGAGCCTGGGGCAGCATCTGCGCACAGTAGGTACTCAGCCGTTGGCTCTGAACCTCCGAGTGTCTCCTGCCACCTCCCCACTGAGCAGTCACTTTTACATAAACAGTTACATAAACTTTTGGTTATCTTAACTGCCCCCAAAGTTGCTATTTTTTCCTTAGGCTTCTATGATATGGATTCTGCCACTTTTTTTTTTCTAAGGAAAGAGTTTGTTTTTGAAACCTGCCTTTGGGGTTTTGCAGTGCCACCAGCTAGCTCAGAAGTACATCAGATGTGACATTTGATGGAGGCGACACTGCCATATGGTCCGGGTGTCTGCATCTTCCTTTCAGGGGCAACTGGGGTTTGCAACTGATTGCAGCTGTCAAGTTCAATGCCTGAGACAAGCTTTTGATTTTGCCAGGTGTGTCGGTAAGGCTGGGCTCGGCAAGGGGCTGTCACTTGCCCGGCACAGAGGTGGCTTTTGGGAGCTCCGTCTAGACGGGTCTGTCCTCAAAATAGCAGAGGGAATTTCAAGGAGGACTTTTTCTGGGCCCAGAGCAACTTGGCATTTTTATTAGATCAAAATCAAATCCAATAGAGTACTGCTTCAGTCGCTTTCTTTATTAAAATGGAAACAGACCGTATTTCTGAAATATCAATGCCAATTAGCTGGGAGCACAGACCAACACGTGGTTTGGAGACATCCCAGACCCTGGCACCACAGGTCAAGAGATCCAATCCAATGCTAGGATCAGAATCACAGGGAGGATTCATGCCCAGCCCACCTTTCAAGTTCAGAAGGTCTGAGGTGGGCCTGGGAGTTTGTATTTCTTACAGATTCTTCATGATGCTGACGATGCTGCCCACAGACCCGATGGGAATCGGACTCAGTCCCGGGCCAGCATGTGACTCTCTGAAGCCACTGCCAGGAGCCAGTCTGCTTTCCATCACTTGCTTGGGTGACTCAGCAACTTCTAGATAGAAATTACCACTTCTAGGACCAAGTCCCTCCGATCCATCCTCCTAAGACGTAAACTTGATCGCATCTTTCGCTGCCTGCCAGCTCGTGACCTCCCTGTTGGGTGCTGGCATGGGCCAGCCAGGCAGAACCTTCTAGCAGAGGCCCCCCTCCCTCCACATGCCCTCGTTCACTCATCACCCTCTGAGCCCTTTCTTGCTGACTTGTTTATTCCAGTTGCTCCCCACAGAATGAACTGCTGTGAGGGCAGAGACTTTGTTGCCACATTCATTGTGACTGCCTCAGAGCCTTAGCACACAGAAGGTCACCCCTATGCGTCTGTCCACGACCGATCACTCTGTCCTGGCGAGGTCAGTGCCCCGGGAAACCTGTCCATTTGACAGGTGAACATACTGAGAAATGGAGTCACTTGTCCTGAGTCACCACCTGTCCCACCCCAAGCTGAAGCTAAGCTGATGTTTACCTCCTTTGAGCCCATTTTCTGGCCAAGGCAGTGGCGTGCCAATCATACGCGTTGTTAAGAGACACTTGGGCAGTTGTTAAAATACAGATTTCCGGGAAGAGCCCATTCCTCAGTTTGGGGCAGGTCAGGGATCTGTCTCAGGTAAGTCAAAGTATAGGATGAACCCTGTACTCTTTTGAGTACAGTAGGCTGTTACATTTGGCACCCAGCAATTTTTTTTTTTTTTTTGATAGAACTGGTGACTGAACCCAGAGCCTTTGCACTGAGCCACATGCCCACATTTTTTAAAAAAATACTTTTTTTAATTAAAATTTTTTTTTCTTTTGGACAAAATCTTGCTTTAAATTGCTAATTTTCCCAGGCTGGGCTTGAATGTACAGTGCTTCTGCCTCAGACTCCTAGGAGGCTGGCATTACAGGCCTGCAACTCCGCATGTATCCGAAGTCTTTTGATTTTTGCAACCACAGTCCTGCCGTCCTTCCCCCTCCAACCCATGTGCTGGTTTCTAGCCACCTTCCTCCAAGCACAACATTGTTGGATTTTTCACACCTCCTAAAAACCTCATCGGCCTGCCAAGAATCCATTTCACGCCCTGTTCTTTCTGCCTGGAATGACCTGCCGCTTCCTCTCCTGGGAGAAACCAGTTCCACCCATGGAATTGGGAGCTTCCTGGTCTAGTCAAGCATCTGGGAATGACAGCACCTGTCCCATCCCCTGATGGGCATAGGGGCGTCCATCCACACACCTCACTGCCCTGGGACTTGGGCTATGAGGTGAGGTGTCACGGTGCCCACAGGCACAGCCGTTAGAGCAAGGCTGGCTGGCTTCAAACCCCAGCACTGATGTTTAGACAAATGACTTCCCCTCCTGGTCCCTGACGTGTTCCTGTTAGACAAGTCTTCCCTAACATGACCTCAGTTTCCTCATCTGGGAAGAGAGGCTGTTGAAGCCAATTCCACGATAGTGTAGGTGTCTTGTTGTCTTCGTGTCCATCTGTATCTGAGGCTGCTAATGACAGACCCTGCTGCAGACCTCCTGAGATTTCCTGCTCCTTTCACACCCACTTGGAGACTCAGAGTGGTGAACTTTAAGGAACATTCACATAGCTGGATAGAAGCTGGATTTAAAGCTCTGACTGTCAGATCCAAGCATGATTTCTCTCCCCTAAGCTTGCAACAAAAGAGGAAAAACAAAGGTCCCTAATCCCCAGGCCACAAACCTTTACCTGTACCATTAGAAACTGTCCTGTCTCAGGAGGTAAGCAATGGCAGGTCACCGCCTACATGTTCAGCTGTTCCCTGTGGTTCACATTACTGCCTTGAGCGCCTCCTGCTGTCAGATCAGCAGGGTACTGGGAGCACGAATGAATGCCACTGTGGAATGATCTGCCAGGAGTCCTCCGTTGACTCATCCTGAAGCCAACCCATCCTTCCCATCCCTCCATCCATCACTAGAAAAATCACCTTCCATGAAACTGGTCCTGGTGCCAGAAAGGCGGGACATTTCTGCTTTACACACAGAATTTTAGTGTGGGAGTCATGGGCACTGGAGCCTCCTCATCCTTCTCCTCCATTTCTTTCACATTTGTTCAAGAAATAGTCAGCTCAGGACTTGATTGGGGCTGGAGGCTGAGGCTCCAGGAAGAAGCAGGTGCAACCATCCCAGAGGAAGGAGCATTTGAAATACCAGGGAGGTCAGTGGCCTGAGAAGCGCAGGACAGGGCAACCCCATATGCCCTCAGCATGTGTTGAGTCATAGAACAGGGTCAGGGGACAGAAACACAGGCTAGGGAACAACAAGAGGTCACCAAGCAGCTCCCACTGCTGAGGTTCACCTGGGAGATGCTGCCTGGCCCATGGACTGTTAAGAATATTTTTAAAACTCTGTCACCGTTTAAAGGCCAGGGAGCTTTACTTTGAAGTCTGGGTTTTTAGTGTTACTGGACTTCTTTGGACGATCTGAGCTTATGCTTCCTGGGGTGACACTGGCTGGAGCAGGGGAGGCCATCTCTGGTCCCTTCAAACATTAGCTTAATTACCTTGGGCCCAGGAGGCTTGAAGTTGAGACCCCCCAGTCCACAGTGCAGGGCCTTTTCTCTGGCTCCTGGTTGGCCTCAGAGTAAAGGGAATGGGTAAGAAAGGGAGTGCGGAGTCCCGGGGGCAGGTGGGGGACATGCTGTCCGTAGCTCTGGGTCCCAGGCCCCTGTGACTCGACGAGAATGGAAGGCCAATCCCAGTCCTGACTGACTCGGCCTCTAAGTCCAGGGCACAGAGTCTGATTTAACTCAAGGAGGACAGCATCCTGGCTTTCATTCTTCCTTTAAAAAAAATCACTTCCTCCCTGTTCCAATGAATTCTCTACAATTCTGCCTGTTGGCGACCATAAGAGCAGCTATGATCACTTCTAAATACTCATTTAGAAAAACAATTAAACCTTTCTATGCACCAAATATTTGCTTCTCAATTTTAAAAAATCCCAAACACCTTTATCTTGGCAGCAAGCACTTTCATAGATTGCAACTATTTCAGTAGCTGGGGCCAAAACAAATGCTTTCTTTCCCTCAAGGCCAAATGATTCCAGAATGTTTGCAGAATGTTTCCCACTTCTTAGAAATACAATAAAATTTTCAATACACAAACATTAAAGAATATTAACAAAAATCAAAGAGAAAAAAGTTGCAACACACACACACACACACACACACACACACACACGCTCTGCCACTGGCACAACCATCTTCCTCTTCACCTTCCCTTCCCGCAGAGGAAGGGCAGTGAGCTCCCCATCCCTAGGGCTATGCAAACCGAAGCTTGGCCTCACTAGGAACTCCCACGTAAGTGAGCTTCCTACAAGAGCCTGGCTGACCTTATGGTATGAGTATCCCTTGCCGCTTGGAATGGGGGAAACCAGAGAGTTGGAACTTGGAACCAGTGACTTGGAACAGATTTCTTTTAATGCTGAGGACTGGAATCAGGAAGAAGTTAATTCCATCTGGTCCCACAGTCGCTGTGAATCATCAGGTGGCAAAATACTGCTGCTGGCCTTGGCTCCCTATTGTAGCATGGGACACCCCACCAGCATGACAGGAGGCACAGTGCAAAGGTCACTGCCTCCTTTTCCTCCCCTCCCCCCAGCACAGTGCCTTTCTCCCCTTCCTGGTTTTTCTCTCTGTCTCTACCTCGGCTGTGCCTCCAGAGCAGCCACCGTGGGCCCTGTCCTTGCTCTCCTGGGTGTGGCTGGAAAGTGTGCCTCTTGGGGAGAGGGTGTAGGACGAGGGGGGGACCCCGACCTCCTGTAGGGTCAGAAGATGGGTTGGGTTGGGCTTTGCAGGGGTGAACCTTGAGCTGGAGGGGTCAAGCAGGTGCAGTCATTTTAGGCAGGTGCTGTGTGTGGTGGGAATGGCCCATATGTTAGGGAGCCCTCACAGAGACACTTGATGGAGGGCAGAGGATTGATTGGAGAATCAAGCAGCACAGCAGAGGGGGAGAGGACAGGACAGAGGGGCCTCCCCAGCATCACTTCGCCAGGTTCTGAGAGCCCTAGGCAGTGGAGGGGTGCAGAGTCTCTGTGCCCCGCCTTGCACACGGGGAGCTGCTGGGAGTGAGCTGGCCCGTGGGAGTTTCTCCTCCAGGGCCACGGGGAGCTCAGTTGGCTGCATGGCTGGGTGGGATGGTACAGAACAGGTCACAGGCAGCTGGGCTGGGGGTGGACTGAGGACGGTAAGTGGGCACTGGGTGCCTTGGTAAAGAGAAGGCAGAGTAAGGTGGGTGGCAGCTGATATGGGGCAGGAGACCTGGGGACAGGTGTGCGTGGGAGGCAACGAGGGGATGGGCTGCTGGGTGGTGAGGAGCTTGGAGCGTGGGTGAGTAGGAGGATGATAGGAGGATGCGGATGTGGAAGGGAGTCAGTGTGTCACTGGGGCAGCAGAAGGGTGGATATGTGCTGTGGTGGGGGTACAAGTGGGCAGAGACGGAGGGGCTGGAGTGGGTTCAGGATGTCAAGGGTGGGGTGTTGCATCTGTCCATGGATGGCAGCAGATACGGGTAGGTGCCTCTGTGTGGATGAGCTCAGGGTGCAGTGGGCTCATAAGAGGGTGAGGAGGAGGAGGGTGGGGGCCCTGAGGGGCTCGTGTGGGTGGAAGAAAGGATTGCAGTGCTGGCCACCTTTCTCTTGCAGGACACCAGCTGCACATGGCGGATTCCTGGCCCCGCAGTTCAGCCCAGGAGATGCCAGAGCTGAACCGCCAGTGCTGGGTCCTGGGGCACTGGGTGTGACAGAGACCCAGCCCGGCCCCCAGAGCTCCGGCCGATGCTGGCACCAGCCCTTCCCAGAAGACCATCAGTCTGGTGCCCCGGAGCCCAGCCTGTGTGCAGTGGACTCCGTTGTTAGCCGAGGAGACACGAGGCCTTTCCTGCCACGCTGCCTGGGTCTGAGGGCCCTGGACACGAGGCCCAGAGAACTTGAGGGAACACACTGGACTGCACAGAAGAACTTGGGGGTGCAGCCTGGAACTCCTGCCAGTATCTCACTACAGCCCTGCTGGCTGCCTCTGACATGTCAGGAAAGTCACTGGACACTGGACACCAAATACTGGGCACCCACAAACTAACCAGGGAGCTGAAAAGGTGTCCAGAAGGGCAGGGCTCTGTGGGAACAGGAGGGGTGGTTTCAGGAAGAAGGATCAGCAGCTGGCACTGCAGGAGGCCACACAGCAGGCACACAGCAGGGGCTCAATAAATGCTTGCCGAATCTGTTTCTTGCAGTGTATGGAGCTAGTTGCTCTCTGGGCTGTGGCTGCCTCGTCATCCCTCACCCTGTCACCTCAAAGACCCTGCAAGTGAGAACCTATGTGTGCTAAGGGCAGGGCCAGGCTGGGCCTAGGGTACAGGTAGGATGGACATAGGCTGGCAGTGATGCCCTGGATTCTAGAGGATAGGCAAAGAGGGGTCCCCAAACCCACATCCTGAACTGTGACCCCCAGGGGGACACTATGCTAATTCCTGTTATAAAAACGAGAGGGAGTAACAGAGTAGAAGTAACTTATCTAAGATGAAAGAAATAGAAAATTGTAGAACTGGGTTTGAACCAAGACCCCTGAGTCCAACTTCAGTTTTCCAAGAGGTCTTTCTTCCCAGAGGAGTTTCTAGAGTTTTTCACCAAGTAGAGCTTCACTTATCCATCCATCCATCCATCCATCTCCCTACCTACCTGTTCATTATTTGTCCATCCAACCACCCATTCAATCACCCACCCATCCATCCGTCCATCCAACCATCCAACCATCCATCCATCCATCCATTCATCCATCCATCCATCCATCCATCCATCCATCCAATCATCCATCCATCCATCCATCCATCCATCCATCCATCCATCCAATCATCCATCCATCCATTTGTTCACTCATTCATCCAATCATCAGTCTACCCTTCCGCCCTCCTTTTCTCCATCCCGGCACCCATCACTCCCCATCCTTGTGGTAGGCCTCCATCCTTCATCCTTCCATGCATCACCCTCCCTCTTTATTCAACCATCCACCTGTGCATCCATCTTTCCCATGATGGGATTCACTGTGCCCATACTCTGTGCCAAGCACTGTGGCAGGCACCACAGATGGGGTACAGAAGCACTCAAAGAGGGGCAGGGCAAATGATGAGGCAGATGATTATAGTTCTCTGTGCAGAGCACGATGGTTCCCTGCTTAAGGGTCAAACTACCTGGTTCTGACTCCTTTAAGACCTTGGGTATGTCACTCAACCTCTCTATGCCTCAGTTTCTCATCCACTAAGTGAAGATCATGGCTATGCTTATCTTTTGAAGGTGTGCTGCAGGTTAAGCAGGCTGGTGTCCTGGACAACTTCAGGCGTGTTTACTGTAATGCCTGAGGGGAGTTAGGGGCTAGAGGAGCTGACAGGCAGACCCTGCTGGGGGCAGCATTCAGGGGAGGCTCCCTCGGTGAAATGAGGCTTAAGCCAAGACACGCAGGCTGTCAAGACACCAGGCAAGCAAGAGTGCGGAGAGCCCAGGAAATGGGTGCAGAGAGAAAGTGGTGACAAGCTGCAGAGCTGGATGCAGCAGACCAGGAGCGATCCAGGGCCTGGCCAGGGAGCTTGCACTGGGGCAGCGCTTCTTCCAGAGGAGGTGCGCCCAGCTGTGCTTGTTAGGAAGATACGAGGCTCCGGCACAGGACAGATGTGGTAGGCTGCTCGGGGAAGGAGACTTCATCCAGGCCACATCAGAAGCCAGAGGAGAGGGTGAGCTTAACAAGGGCCCTGGGGCCAGGTGAGCAGATCCTGACACTAGGTAGGAGAGACAACCATCAGGGATTGGGGAGGAATGGCATGGCAGGAGAGGACAGTGGCCATGACTCTCAGGTTGAGTATAAGGGTGGGGAAGATGGGGACTTTACATGTCTTAAGGGAATACTCAGGTGGATTGAGTGCATTCATTCATTCATGCATTAATTGGCTGAGTGATTTGTGAGTCATTTTCATTAATTCAGTGGTACTGAGGACTACTGGGGTGGGGCTGGAGAAGGCCTGGGAGGGAGACTGAACCAGTTGTGAAGGCCTTAAACGTCAGACCTAGTTCGGGTTCTGCCCCAAGCAGGAAGGAGCCACCCAAACATGGGCTGGGCAGGGACATGGGGTGGGGTCTGGCCAGGGCTGCCAGGCATCTCAGAGCCCTTTACTGTCACCCAGGTCCTTCTGAAGCTAGCAAACAGCCCTCAGAGGTCCAGGAGATGACTTCAGTTGACACACGGGCAAAATTTTAATCTATTTTAACAGTTGTGTTTATGTAAATGTGTATTAGAAAAAAATGTGTAACAGGCATCTCAGTGAGTTCACAGACGTTACTGCTTAGGATGAAACCACAATAGGCACTTCAGTTAAAACAGAGTTGGTTTAAAGAAAAGCATTAAATAAATATTCGTGCAAATGGTATGTGATTATGCTATGTGGGCGACTCAAACAAGGGCCACTGTCACAGGCAGTGAGTGAGGCAGGAGCAAGGCAGGCACTGGAGCTGCAAGGCCTCCTGTCTCCCTCTGGGTGCTTTTGGGCAGGGCTGGGAACTAGCTGTCTCCTGGTGCAGCAAGGTCACTGGTTAGATAAGAGGAAGCCTTGCAAGCAGGCTGGGTAGGTGGTCGCACTGACCATCATGTGACTTCAAAGGTGTCTTCGTGCAACTGTACCCGAACTGGGGAGGAGGGAGAGGCCACTCAATCTGAGGGCAGAGGGCTCCTGGGGGAGCACACAGGTGTGGAGGGGAAGCAAAAGCCCCTCCCTCTGTCCTTGCAATCAGCTTTGCCAGCCCCTCGTCCCTGTGCTGGGTAAACCCGGTCTTGGGTGTGTGCCTGTCTTGTCACGGGCACCTGTGGCCCATTGTGCGCTGGCACCTGCTTAGCATCTCTGTGTACCTCCTGCCCTGGACTCAGCTGCACACTAGGACTGTGACTCAACCCTGTACAAGGGGAGCCTGAGGCTGACCTTGGCCAAGTACGCTGGCCCTGCTTACCCCCCACTTTCCAGGCTGCCGGAGTATAGTAGGAGCTGGGGCCTCTGCTCTCATGGTGACTGGGCGTGCTGGCCCTGGGCAAACCCAGGAACGGCAGTGTCTATGCACGCTCCATGGCCTCCTCTGCTCCCTGGTGTATCGGGACCTTGCAGCCCGGTTCTTCCCTGCCTGAGGGCTAATGGGCCAAGCTGGGTCTCTTGTGAGTGACAAGACTGACTTCCAGGCTGGGGTGGTGTTGAGCAATCGTTGCGACCCATTCCTGGCCACACACGCGTCTCCCTGGGTAATGGAAACGTCAGCTTGATTCATGGGCACTGTCTGCGGCAGTGAAGCCTGAGGACGAGGCTGGCCAGGAGGCTCAGCCCCAGGGATGAGCAGCTGGGAGGGTGGCGGTGAGGACACAAGACAGCGCCTGGGCCGCCCTGCACCCACCGCAGACTTGGTGTGGTCTTTCATCAGGAAGTAGTTACCCAGGCCTGGCCTGTACCAGGAGCCAACCTGGGCACAGGAACTGCCGTGCAAACCGGAAAGATGCTGCCTTCCTCCACAGTGTCTGCTCCATTGAGGTAGACAGAGGTCGTGCTCATAGCTCTACATTATGTAGTGAGGATAGCCAGGGGCAGAGGGTGCCCCTCCAATCAAGAACCAAATGAAGGCTGAGGCAGGAAGCAGCAGGTAATGTGTGGACAGGAAGAGCAGCATATGCAAACACCCTGGGGTTGGGAGTCAGCCAATTGCCTATGTATTATTGTGGCAGAACAGAGTGCTTGGAACCTGGGGTGGGGACAGGAGAGCGAAGTCCTCTGGGGTCTGAACGTGAGGCCTTGTGGGGCAGTGGCCAGGAGTTTATCCTTCACCTTGAGGGTCAGCAGCAGCTGCCCACAGAGGGGGTCAGGCAGCAGACTTGATCAGCACTGCATCTGTCAACTTTCCTGGGCCATGTGGGTGAAGGAGAGGGTATAGAGAGAGGCAGGGCAGCTAGAGAGGTCCCAGTGGGAGACACTGTTGGCTTAGGCTGCGGTGGCGCTGGGGGAGGAGGAGGGCTTCTGAACGGAAGCACCTGTGGCACTAGGCAATGCGAGCAGGTGGGAAGGGAGCCTGTGCCAGCCTGGGCTGGTGAGGGACACTGCAGGGCACCAGGGTCCCTTGGTGGAGTTCAGGGGATGGTACTTCTGAGCCAGCACATTACAAAGGCTGTGCCTGCCTACCTCTGAACATGAGGACATGTAGGACGGAGCCATGGCTGTGGGGGCTGGGCCTGAGCTGTCCCTGACAGGGAGACACTGAGCACAAAGCTGGTGCACAGCCACCCAGGCTGCAGGCAGGGATTGTCACCTATGAAGAAAAGCTGCCCTCTTCCACATGGAGTTAACTGAAGGGACAGACAAGGGTCAGCACATGGGGCCCCTTGCTGTCCCCAGCACAGGCAGCTCAGAGTCCCCTGGTTATTATTTTTGGGCCATGTTTCACTTAGGACTGACATTGTCAGCCCTCTGCCTTAGAGGCGGCAGTGGCCCAGCTGATGGCTGTGGCCTGCAGGGGCTCCTGTTCCAAGCGGCTGAGGGGACACAGAGGAGTAAGGGCCCTGGGAGAGTCTGGGTAGCCAGAGGCCAAGGGGGTGGATCCAGGAACACTCACCCTCTCCCTTACCCCTAGGAACTTGTGGGGTGGGGTAAAGGCAAGAGGATGCTGGTAAGGGGTTAGGAGAAGGGGGAAGGGGTGCAGGTAGGTGGGAAGAGGGTGCAACGCAGCAGGTGGGTGGGGAGGAGCAGGGTGCAGCATGTGGTGCCAGAGGGGCGGGCTGGAGCAGGTGGCTGGGGGAGGGGAATCAGCAGTGAGCAGGACACTGCTGAGGAGAGTGGTCTGCACTTAGGTAATGGGAAGGTGCTCTAAGATTCATGCTCTTCATGGGCCAATCAGCTGAGTCTGGAGTTTCTAGAAGGTGGGAAGTGGGAGGGAGAGCTACCTTGCTCTGGGAAGGGCTCAGGCTCTTCACACCCGGGCCCAAGTCTCAGTGCAATACGGGCAACTGGGAGACAGGGAGTGTGGCCTCTCCCAACCCCGGAGGGCTGCAGTCCGAAGGCCAGTGTGCATGGATGTCCACTACAGTCCATCAAGCAGGAAGAGGTCTAGGCCTGTGCTGAAGTTGCTCACCAAGGTCACACAGCCAGGAAGTTGCACCCAGGCATGCTGGCCACAGGACTATTGTACACCCTCGAGAGAATGGTACCTGCAGATAAGGATTCCATGTCTACAACAGGTGCCTTCATCGACAGGCTCACTGGGCATCTATGGGGGTTCAAGGGTCCTGTGTGTTGAGTGTGTTTGGTTGTCACCATCACAAAATCCGACTGCCTACAGGGCAGTGAATGGAGCAGTTTCTTGGAGAGGCAGGCAGATTGGAAATAGTGTCACAGACACCTGTGGTGCTTACAGACCCCCGACTCACCTGTGCTGCAGGGAGATCACCTTGGGCACTTTGGGACACACAGTACTCTAGATGGAGCTGAGGACTGTTTGCCATTCCATGTCCCTGTCAGCCCTGTCAGCTGACTACATCCTGAGATTGAGTCCTGGTGCTGGCACAGCGCTCTGGGTGCCCAATTGGCTGGGCCCTGATTGCCAGGACCTGAAGCACTGTCCCCTCCCTATCCTGCTCCTTCATGTCCATTCCTCACCTCTGCCCCTGCAGGGCTGTGTTCCTGCCTGGAAAAGAAGCCGGGAATCTGAATTTCATTGTGAACCCTGGAGGGACAGGAAGGCAATTAACTTTAAAAATTTAAACATGACCTAGGCATACAGTCCCTGCAGGCTAAGCCTACAGGTGGTGCCCGCCCCCCCCCCCCCCCGCCCCAATTACAGTGAGGCCTGAAGGCAACAGGCGCCAAGTGGCCCTGGGAAAGGCAGGAAGTGAGTTGAGGAGGGAGGGACCTTCTGGAGTGGGCCCTTATAGGGGGTGGTGCTGCGCTGCACCTGCCTGAGGACAGATCAGTGTCTCTGTGTGACGGGGGCAGTCCTTCCCACCTTGGGACAGAGGGGTGCACAGCCCGGTGCTCCTGGGAGCACTTCACAAGCCTCTGTCAGCCATGGCTGGGTCCACAGGTCCAACGGCCACAGCCTGGGGATCACGGATTGGGGTGGGATGCAGGGACTGGGCAGCCGCAGGAGAGGAGGGAGAGGACCTCTGTTGTTCCCCATAGCCACTGAAGACGGAGACTGCTACTTCCAGGACCCAAGGGCCATCCACTGCTGTTCTCTCCCTCTCCAGAGGGATGGGACAGGAACACCTCCTCTCTCCTTTCTCCTCCTGGGAGAGGGTTGGAAGGACACAGCTGAGGTGCACGGGAGCCCTGGGTGGCTATAGGAACGGAAGGCTGGGTGACGCCCCTAAGGGGAGGAGCTGGGGTGGAGGCTGCCCCACAGGAGACCCTCCAGAGTCCGTGGCAGATGGTTGGTACTTGGCTGTGTTTGCTTAGGCTGAGGTAACAGAAAAAAGTTACATTTCACATTAAACATAGAAAGCCTGGACACCTGGCTTCTCTAAAACCCTTGAAAATGGGGCTTTGTGGGAGGCAGGTGCTCCAGCCCAGCAGGCCAGCTTTGCTCCTTGGCATTGGTCCTTGAGTAACGGGGACCTAGCAGGGTCTTACCAGGGGAGAGCCCTCCTCTGGCTGCCTGCAGTGAAAAACCCCACTGCCTAACTACATCCTTTCCTGGCTCCAGGGCCACCCACACTACCCTAAAGGAAGCAAGGGTAAGGGGCACAGGAGGGAGGGGGATGGTGTACGGGCACCCATACCCGATGAAGGGAAACCCCAGTGGCAAGGACCCACAGGATTGTCCACACACACAGCCCACCCCTGCCCAGTCACCTGCTGGTTATCTTACAACCTGCACACTGACTAATAGCTTCCAAAGGGTTACATATATCCTGGGAAAGTTACACAACCTCTCTGTGCCTCAGCTCGTGTGTGTAACAAGAGAGTAATAAGACAACCTATCCCATAGGATTTTTATATGTACAATTATGTGTCTATTGGACATGATGGGGTTCTATCGAGTAGGCTTGGCCGGGGTCATGACCCCACTGGCAGGTGGAGGAGGGGGTTCCAAGCCTGCACTGCTCACCCGGTTTCAAATGGGCTTGCTCAGCCTGACCCCAAATCCAGGGCACTGGAGTCTATTCTCAATAACATCTTTTATTGATTTTGCAAGAGAAAAAAATAGAAATTTATTTTAGAGTTAATGCCTATACAGTTTCTTTTTTTTCTCCTAAATTATATGGTACGTACAATTATTACAAATGTCAACCGTGGTTCTGGGGGCAGCGAATGCAGTGTTCATCTGGGCTCCCCAACAAATCTGTTACCGTGCCTCGGGCAGGATGGGAGGTTGGGGCTCCCTTTGAAGCCAGAGCACTAGATTTGGTCTTAAGAACTGGTTTGATCAGCCCCTGACTCCCCCAGGCTGCAGCTCTCCTGGGAGCCCACAGGCCTGGGGTGCCTGGCATGTCTGGGCACAGAGTGAACAGAAGAGCCAGGGTGGGGTGGGTTCGAGGGGGCTTGGAAGCTACAGAAAGATGGATCTTCTCTGGGAGAAACAATTCTTATCTCCACATCAGCCCCACGCTCCAAATGAAAAGCACATTTGCATAGCTGCTCAGCCCCGGCTGCAAAGCTCATAAAGTATGTGCTGGGCTCCGGTTGCATAGGAACGCGCTTGGAGTACAGTACTGCTTGGGCCGGGCTGGGTGCCAGGAAAACAACGGATTAATATTTGGAACGAGAAATTACCCACCACTGGGAAACCAATTAGGTCCCTGATCTGAGCTTGTTATAGAGATGGAAATAGATGTGCTCTGGGCCGCTTGGCCAGGGGTGCAAGGCACATTTCCAATTCATTGGGAAGTGGCCAGGGAGGGGTCAGTACCACACAGAGGAACAGCAAGAGGGGCAAAGAGGAAGCCCCCATCAGGTGGAGGGATGTGGCTTCCTCCTGACCAAATACCACGAGGATTGTCCTCCACCTCCTGGGCCTGTGTCTCTCCCTTCCCATCCCCAGCAGGACACACAGCACTGGCTGATCCTGTCCCAGGCTTCACAAGGGGACAGATGTCCTAGGGATCGGCTCCCTGAGGAGGATGAGGACAGGGCACTGCCACATCCTACCCTACAGCTATGGCCCTGTGCCCTCCAGTCTGACTCCTGTGGTGCCCAGGTCTATTGTCCCCCTGCCTCTCAAGTCCTTTGACCCTCCACACTGGGATTCACCTCCAGTCCTGGGTCCCAGCCACTGACACTGAAGACCGGAGGGCAAGGGACATGGCCCTGAGCGGGGACAGTAACGGAGCCACCCTGCTGGGAGACTGCTTCCCCTGCCTGCCGTCAGCACCGCCATCGCCTCGATGTCTCCTTCTCACTTATGCAGGTTTTTGGGCGCAAGGCTGTCAAGGCAGAGGACAGAAGGAGCAGGGTTAGCCACCCCCAAGCCTGCGGGGGAAATCCCACCACCTGGGCTGTGACGCGGGCCCTGGGGCCACCACCTGCAGCCCCTACAGCTCCTGAGCGTGGAGCACCTGGTATGCTGGCCCCTTCCCAGGCCTTGCCCGCACTGCCTGGCACACACCTGGCATCCTCTAGAGTCTAAATGTCATCTCCCCTGGGAAGCCTTCCCCTTACACAGTTTCCTGTGGTGCAGGGCAGCCCCTTTGGACACAGCACATCTGCCCTTCGATGCTCTTGACCTTTCCCCCAGCACCCGAGGCACTGGGCTTCAGGGAAGCAGGTCACTTGCTGCTTCTTCCAGGCCTCAGGAGGAAGGACTCAGGCAGGTGGGGGCAGAGTGGTGTGGGTGGATGCCAGCCCCCTCTCCAGACCACAGTTCCCAGGGTGGGAGTGCCACTGGGCAGGGCCAAGAGCCAACCTGGATCTGCGACACTTGGTTTTCTCTTAAAGTTGGTGATGATCTGGTTTTCATTCATCATCTGGACGTCCTGGTCCTCCACCTGATGACTGTGGGGTGGGAAGAACAGGAGATTCGATCCAGCTCCGGGCCAAGTGTCCCAGCCATCCATCCTCGTTAGCGCTTGTGATGACGCGTGGAGTGGGCTGGGGATGTACCTGATGGCTGTGCGTTTCTCCTGATGACATATGTCCGTGTCCTCGGTGAAGAGGATGGTGTGGTACGGCACTGTGGGCTCGCATGTGGGCAGGATGCCCCCTGCCAGGTGTGTTACCATGGCCAAGATCCCGTTGTACACGAGCAAGTCATCCACTAGGAGCTGTGCAGACACGGAGGAGGGGCTGAGAGACCCCTTACCTCCCATGGATCCTATCTGAAGCTCTGGGTGGTTAGTGCTCAGGGCCAAAGCTTCCTCCTCTGGGACAGACCTGGCAAGTATCACTATGTGTCCAGCTTGTACTGTGACCCTCAGCAAGGGCGTGTGTTGTGTGCCGGAGCTGCAGATGTGGATACTGAGGTTCAAAGATCCTAGCATCATTCAATGTGTGGGTCCAGGTGGCAGAGCTGGAGGCAAACTGGGACTCTGGCCCCAGGGTCCCTGTCTTGTCCCAGTACCTCCCCAAACCAGTGTGACTCTGCAGGGAACTCTGAGAGGACAGCCACCTCCTGTTGTCTCAGAGTGACAAGGAGTCAGATTGCTCCAGGGTGGTTTTGGATTCACAGTTGGGCAGAAATTTTGCCTGCATCTGAGCACTAGGCGTTTATGTCTAAGGTTGCAACAGAGAGAAGTAAATCAAACTGCGACAAATGATAATTGCCAGTGGCCTAATTACCAATGAGCACAATTATCTCCAAAACCCAGCTAATAAGTACTTACGCCAAACTCTTTCACCCCTCGATGGGGCGTTTTTGCGTAATTCCACAGTTTGATCATTGACACGGTAGTGGGCAGATCGAAAATCACATAAACCCGATTCACCTGCCAGAGAGCAGAGCTAATTAAAATGGGCAGGTTTGCAAACAGAAGCACTTGGCGGGGCTGGGGTACCAGGCACGGGCAGGGGCCAAGCTGGGGGTGCCTGGGGCAGCGCTGCCCATGCCGCGGCCTGGAGTCCCGCAGCCTTTCATCTCCTCCGAGCCCATCTCCAGTCAGGTCACGTGTGGCTGCGTTTGCAACAAACCGCTGAGCTGGCTCTTGGAGGGCCTGTTTCCTTGGGCCGCGTGGCCCTCATTTAAATACCGGTGGATAACTGGGAATATTCCTTGACCTTCCCTTCACTCCAGGTCAGGCCCAGAAATAGTGCAGTGCCCCATGGGCCCAAGGGACAATGCTCAACTCACAGCTGAGGAGCACTGCCCTCAGCAATCTGCATGGCCTGACCCCTGCCTGTCCTTTCCTGGAAGCATAAATGAAAAGCAAAGCAGAGATGCCTCTAGAGTGATTTTCAGCGTGTGGCTTTGAACCCCTGCTGGGGAGCAGGAGAGGGGAGCCATGACAGTGCAGACCCAGCTGCAGAAGTGGCCCAAACAGGCACCTTCTTCCCTCGCCCCATCCCTCGCAGGGCCAACTAAGGGAATAAGCAGTCTGGAGGATTCCCAGCCGCAGTCTTCTCTCCCTGGGGCTCAGGCAGACACACATGTGGAGTCTGGCTGGGAGAGTGGTGGTGGGTAGCCAGCACCTCAGGGCTTCCTGGGAAAGCTGGGGGCAGTACCTGGGCCCCTGTGCCATAGTGGGATTGAGGGCCAGTGGGGCTATGTGCTTCCCCCTCTGCAGGCAGGGCCGGGGCTAAGGGACTGACCCCAGCTCAGGGGACACGGAGGAACACTCTATGGGCCCCTTGGAGGGTGACCTTTGACCAACATAAAATTGCTGCTGCCGCTGCCTTTCTGTGTTTTGAGAGGAAAATGCCCCCACCTTCTCTCTTGTCACTTGAGTGGAAAAGGGGCAGGTCAGCTATCCCGCCATGCACCTGGGCACAGGTACCTTGGCACAGGATGAAAGATGAGGGATGCCAACCACCTTGTGCCCAGTCCGGGCCCCCTTTTCCCTCTCCATCATGCTCCTATCCTGGGCCTGGTGGTGAAGCCCAGCCCAAGCTCACCATGAGGCCTTGGGGCAAAGGACAAGCAGGATTACTGTGGCATTTGACAGCGGGAAACCAAGTCAGCAGTCAGAAGAGCTGACCAGGCAGACCTGGGGTCAGGAGGGCAGGGAGCTGTGTTGTGATCAGGGGGCCAGGATGTAAGGAAGGAGCAGAAACAGGGAGGAGAGGGGATAGGGCAGAGGAGGGCACAGCGCATGCAGAGAACTGAGATGGAGAGGAGCAGGAGAGGGCGATGACGGCAGGGACTGTCGGGTGCCAATGCCCTCAAACCTGCTCCCCTGGGGATCCTGGCTTCAGAGTCTAATGTGCCCCTCAGTCCTCCTGGTGCCCCCTTTTAGAAGCTCCTCTCCAAGCAGGAAGAAAGAAATGCTGGTTACAGGAGTGATCCCCTCAGGCATGTCAGCAAAGCAATCTGACCTGTCCTGCCACTGACACAAGGGATGGACCATCCCCTACCCACCCTAGGGCCAGAAGCTGAGGTAGCTGCCACGGGTACCCACCAGGCCTGGCAGGATGGGTGCCAGCCACATGTGCCTGCCATCGCTGGTGTCGTTCACCTGGTCAATGAGCTTATCAGGGGTCCGCACGTCTCCACTTACGCCCTCCAGCGCATTTACGCTGTCTGGGAAGGCGGCGATATCTGCAAAGGTGGCTAAGCTGCCACAACCCAAAGCTGAGGGCCTGGCATGGCGCGCCACTCTGGGGGGTGCCAGGGCTGGCAGTGGCTGCTCCAAGCAGCCAGGGAGGCGATGGCTCAATCCAGCATGTTGTGGAGAAGGGGGTTCAGGGGTCTGGAGGGCAGGACAGTGGGTGACAGCTGTGGCAGGAACACAGGACAGTGCCATGACATGCATAGGGACATGGAGGTAGCCGGGCTCTGCTGGACCAGGCCACAATAGATCTCCCTGGCCATGGCAGGCGGGGGCAGCCAATCCTACTCAGTGATGGTACTACTGTGACCTGCAGAACCTGGTTCTAGTTCTGGCTTGACTGTTACGACCCAGGGAAGCTTGGGGAAGTCAGGGCACATGGGTAGGCCTCTTTTCTCATCTGTAAAATAAAACCTTCACAACCAGAATGGGTATGTGGCTGAGAATGGTGCACACGCCTAAAATCCCAGTACTCAGGAGGCTGAGGCAGGAAGATGACCATGAGATTGAGGCCAGCCTGGGCTACAAAGTGAAACTCTGTCTCAAAAAACAAAACAAAACCCCAGAAAGGATATGTGAACATCAGAGGACCCTCTTGGTAAAGTCACTGGTGCCTTATACATACATCCAAGCAACTGCTGGTCATGACCAAAAATACCTATTAGGACAGCCAGACATGGTGGTGCATACCTGTAATCACACTATTCTGGGAGGCTGAGGCAGGAGGATTATAAGATTGAGCAAGCCTGGGCAACTTAATGACCTAGACAGACGACCTTGTCTCAAAAATAAAAAGGGAGCTGGGACTTAGGACCTGGATGCAACCCCCAGTACAAAAAAAAAAAAAAAAAAAAAAAAAAAAATCAGAATTATCTATCCCAGCTGGCTGGGGACTGTGGACAAGGGGTCTAGTGGAAGGCAGAAAAATGGACCAGAGACCTGGCTCTGGCTTTGGATTTGCCCTGCCCAGCATTTCTCCGCTCAGTGATCATGGACTCAAGAATACAGAGGGCTACAGCAGGTTCCAGAAGAGAAGCCGGACAGCTCCATGGTTGGGGGCTGTCGATGCTATGCAGCCAGGCTGGCCTTGCAACCTTAGGCGAGTTATGCGAGTTATGAGGCCTCTTGGCCTCTCTCCTCTCAGGTTGCTCCTCTGTGAGCCCCACAGTAAATGTGAACAATGCCTGCAGGGGCTGAGGGGAACAGGAAGGGGCACTTTGGGGAAGAGCAGCAGATGCTCATTTCAGCCACTGTTGCTGTGTGGCCACTAGCTTTGCATCGCCAGTTTCCCAAGAGAAGCCAGGGATCGAGTTTTTCTCTAAAACACTGTGGAAAGTAAATTAAACTGTTTTGGAACTCACTGGGCTAGCAGTTTGCTGGTTCTGGTGTGAATGCACCACAGGCGAGGGGTCCCGCAGTTCATAAATCAGACCAGTGCTAGTGGTTTCTCCCTGCAGACTTTGTGGGAACCTTTAGCACTCCAAAGCCTGTATGGTTTTTGGATGGAGTGTGGTCTGTGGGATCCCATCCTGGAAGTGTGCCTGAGAGTGCCTCTCTGTCTTCCTCCCCCAAAGCCCCGTGAGCAAAGCCAAGTAACACTTTAAATCCGGGGCTCGGATTCCAAGAGGGACATTTCCCTGTGTCCCAGGCTGTGGCTCCTCAACCTCCCACACCCCATCCTGTCCCACAAAGGATACTGTTCTCTGACAGGGGGATCTTCTCTCCTTGCTCATCATACAACTCCAGCCCCGTGAGGCCGATATAGTAGGGGTCACCCCAGCTGGTCAGGAGCTGAAACTGGAAAATGACTGGGTGTGTGATTTAAGGAAAGGAGACTTAACTTTTTGGAGATCAAAGCAAAGCAAGGACAAAGATAACACAGATATGGGGGAGGCTCATGCCAATGAAAGAAAGATGGTGTCTTTGTTTCCTTCATGGAGACAGAAGCTCATCAAAATACAGGTGCATCGCATTTTCATTCATTTAAACAGTGTGAATGTGGTTTGAAGGATTCAGACCTTTCTCTGGGCCTGAGAAGAGGCAGCAGGAGCAGACAAGGTTGTCTGTGTCACCAGCTTGTTGACTGGGGCTGAATGAATGGTGCTCATCTCATGACTCAGTTTCTCTGGCTGTAAAGTGACAAGAGCAGAATGCCTGCTGCCTGCCCAGTCCCTGGCCTGGTTTACATCTGGGTGCGCCCCAAAGCCTGTGGGCTGGCGGAGGGAACTTCTCTAGGTGATTGAATCCAAGGGTGCAATTGCTAAATGGGGTGATGTTAGAGGGGTCTGGCTGCAGGCAGGTCATGGGGGTGTGACCTGGAAGGGTGCGGCTCCGGGCTCCTCCCTTCTCTTGTCTTCTTGGTCTCCGCAGTGTGCACGCCTCTCCTGTGTCCAGCCCTTCTGCCATGCCTTTTCTGTGCTTAAGCCTGAACACAGACTGAAATTTCTAAACTGTGAGCCAAAATAAGCCTCTCTTCCTTTAAGCCCCAGGCGTCTCAGTTCGTCTGAAGTGCACAGGAGTGAAGGAGGCCATAAGCATCACAGCATCAGGAGGGCTAGGAATGGCAGAGAGACAGCACTGCTAAGTGACAGGCCTGACCAGGGATTAAGACCTTCCACAGCCCGTTTCCTACCACTCCAGCACTCACGGGGGCAAGGGGCAGGGGCTCCCAGGTGACAGAGTGGCCACAGGCAGCCCTTCCAGAACAGGACAGCTAGAAACAGGGCTGTAGCGCCACCGCCTGGTTTACCAGCTCCATCTACCCTTCCCAGCTGTGCAGCCTTGAGCCAGTCACTTGGCCCTTAGGTGTGAGGTGGAAATGCCAGCAGCATCCAGTCCCCAGTCCCCAGGGCTATTTTGAGAGCTATGTTAATACTAGCAATGTACTAAGAATGTGGCTGGGCAACAGTCGAGGGCCTGGAAACTGCAGCTCCTGTTGTTTCTGTCTGTCCTCCTCGCCTGGTTCCAAGGCTGCTCCCCTGCCCTGCTAACCTTCAGCCAGCTTCAGCTTTGCAGCCCTCTCCCGGGGGCACTGGGTGCTGCCGTGGCAAACCCCAGCCTGCAGGAGGCGAAGCCAGAATTACTGCTGCCAGCCCAGTCCCAGCAGCACCCAGTGCATCTGAGGTTAGGGGAACCCTGTCCCCCTCTGCCTTGGTTTCCCCACATGGCACTGTAGCTGCTTGGCTCCCTGCCTCTGCTGGCTGTGGTGACGGCAGGAGGAGAGGATACAGCCACATGGCATGGGCGGGGCCTCGTAGTCCATGCTCGCGCGCTCCAGGCTCCTCGTGTCCAGCCTGGAGAAACACAAAACAGCACCGTGAATACCCAGCAGCTGAAGGTCACTGGCCTGTCACTCCCAGGCAGGGTCTGTGCAGAAGTGTGGTAGCCTGGTACCTCCCCCTTTTCTGGGGAGGCTCAGTGCCCCGAGGGTGGTCACTATAAGGTGGCAGGAGGCTGCCCAGGAGTCATTCTCCTGACACGGACTCGTGCATCTTTAAACAGCCTGAGGTTGGACAGGGATTCTAAAGCAGAGGGCTGAAGTCACTCACTCGGGGCTTTGGGGCTGGTATGTGGCAGGTCTGGGATGTGTCTTAGTCCTGTCTTATCCATCCCCTCTGCACTGCCTCCCTCATTGGGTGGCAGAATCCATGCTGGTGACAGAGTGGCCCGATGGGCAGTGGCAGAGGTGTGGCGAGGCAAGGCTCTGAGGTGGGAAGGAGCTGAGGGGAAGGGAAGAAAGGAGCTGCGGGCAAGGCAGGGAAGGGTGGTACTTGGACGGGAAGTGGCCAGAAGGGCTGGCATGTGGGCAGAAGGACAGGAGGAAGGGGAAGGAGGGCAGAAAGAAGGGCAGCCCGTAGGCTGCGGCTTCATGGACCTCAGCAAGTGGCTTCAGTTCCCACATTATAAAATGACACAAATTCTACTTCCAAGGGTGCCTGGAAGGAACAGAAAGCATCTGAGCCTAGGGAGCAAGAGCTCTGTCCTCCACTGCCCTCCCACCTGGCTTCTCTCCCTGCGGTGCTGTTGGTGCCTCTAGCCCAGCCTGGGTTTCCTCCGATGTCAAGGGCAATGTTACAATTAAGTGACTGTTCCCAGTGACTGGACAGGCAGAGATCTGGGCTCTGGGAGGGAAATTCATTTCATTCTGAGAGGTTGGCCTCTGGGTTTGGACACCAGGGTTTAAATGAGTAAACGTAACGTGGCATTTACAAATCGTTATGAACTCCGTGCAGCAGAAATTGGGGCCGGGAAACCCCAGCGAGTCTATGAAATGTGAGGCTCTATTTTTCTCTTTTGAATCTTTTAAAATAAGGAACACAGAAACAAGAGAAGGAAAGCCCTTGCTTGAACCGGCCAGCGGGCATTTCTGGAATCGAGGCGGGCTATGGCCTCTTTTCCCAGCAGGAAGCGCAGTGAAGCATTCAAAATCTTAAGCGCTCCAGACTGTGAAAAACCCAAACAGCCCCAGACGAGGCGGGTCCATCCCACAGGCTTCTGGGGAGGCTTGGCTGAGCTTTAGAAAACGGCCAAGTTGAAAAGCAGTGCGTTTGATCATCATTTCAAAACGCTGTGGGTCCACACTTCACAGTGGCGCACAGAGCAGGTGGCACAGACTGGCGGGACACACAGGCATCCAGTCCCCTCACCTCCTGGCTGGTAGGGCCGGCGGCCCAGCCTGTAGGTAGTCCACAAAGAGGATTTCTTGGGCAAAATCAAAGTGACAGTTGCCGGGGCCCTTCCGGATGAGAAAGCCTTCTTCGGGAGAGACACGCAGGCCGTCCAGGGACACGTGCACGATCTTGGCCTAGCAAACAAGACATGCCATGCCAAGGAGGGGTGCAGGAGGCTGTGGTATGAGCTGGTCTGCCTGCGCTGCACCTGCCTGCAGAGAGCATTTGCAGAGCTCCAGTGTGAGCGTGGCTGGGCCTGGCGTTCTCCCCCACCGGGACAAGAGGCCTGACCTATGTCTCGGGGTTGGCCCTGTTTCATGCCAGGTATGTGACAGAGAGCCGAGGACCAGACTGGCAAGGTCCCTACTGTAGTGGGCACTGTGACCTGGTCTCCCGCTGACAAGCTGCAGGCTTGGCACAGGACTCTGCCAAGGCCCCACCTGTATCACCAGCTGCAGTGGCTGCAGCAGCACAATGTGGAGGTCAAGGGCACGGGCTCAGTGCACACAGATCGCTGGCACAAATGTGCACTGTGTCAGCACTGGTCTGTATCATGCTTCCTTCAAACTCTGGGTCCTACAGAAACCCTGTCCTTGCACCAATTCCTGTGATAGAAGGACCAACTTCCTGGCCTTCTCAGATCATTTAGCTGGTCCTTTTCAGGCATGCACAGCCTAGCAATACCCAGGACTCTCCTGATGGCACAGACCCCAGCTAAACCATCTCCTGTACTGTCTCAGGGCCTGCCACATAGTAGTGCTCACTAAGAGCTTGCTAAATTCCTATGGATCTGGGCCAACACATACCCTATTCTAGAATTTTCCAGCCAAAGGGCTGAGACCTACAAGTAAATCTTGGAAGTCCAAATGGCAGTCTGAGGTAGTCTGAGGCAGGGGTGGGGTGATGGGGCCATGGCTTTTCTGAGCACAGATTCTAGGATCAGGTTCTCCTTAACACCTAACGCACCTTCATAGAGAGCAGCATGGGTGCAGCTTCTGATCAAACTGCTGGAATTTCCTTTTGGCAGATGCCAGAAGGCCCTTTGTTCCTTTGTCTTCTATGTCAGGCACACCCATGTGAATCCACAGTCTGTAGGGCAGTTGGCTTCTCTGCCTCTTGAATGTTCTCTGTTCTGCTAAATGGCTCCAGGCACGGCCTTCTCCAGAAGCTGGTCTCTATCTCTCTATTGCTCTCTGTTCTACTTTCCTCTGGCCCATTCTGGGGCCAGAGTGGGACCTGTGACCCAAAGGGAACCACATACTCCTTGTCTTACAAGGGAGTCCTTTCTTCTCTGGACTTGGAGCTGGAAGGGCATAAACTTGCAATTGCCAGCATAGTTTTTGTGAACATAGTCACCAGAAGTGACTCCAGAGCAAAACTGAGGTCCAATCTGCTCAGCCTCTCTGCCCTCCAGTCCCCTTAGCTATAGCCTAGGTGACAAGCAAATGTTGCTGGACAGCAGCCAGCTCTGACCAGAAAAAGCAGCTTCCTGAAGGAGGTGTGGGCTCTGGAGGGTGATGGGGTCTCCTGGATCTGTCTGCCTATCTGTAGGAGCCAAAAGCCCTGGTTTCCAACCCATAATAATCAGGAACTCTACAAGGTCTTGGTGTATGAGGACCTGAGAGTCACAGGGCCCATGCCCCTGCACTTGGAAATCTGCCCTCTCACACTATGTGTCTGCCTCTGTCTCCCTCATCCCTCTGTGACCACTCCTCATGGACACCAAGACTGAGGGGCCAGGCCTGTGAGGTGGGGGCTCTGGACCCAGTGCTCCAGGATGAGAACCAAGTTCCAAGGTCCTGTGTTCCATGAGAGAAATGGGCACCTGCAGAGACCTAGATCTGGGGACCATAGGAGCCAAGGCCGAGTCCTGACCTTGTCAGCCCTCCAGAAGCTGGCAGCTCCTGGTCCATCCTGCAATCGAGGAACCCAGGGAAAGGCCCCACAGTGCTTGGGGACACATCCAGGCCTTGTAAGGTGAGGGCGTCTCTGTGCCCTGTACTGTGGTAACCTTATTGCCACTCTGTGCAATGGGAGGGAGACAATGCTTACCATTCGTAGGGGTCAGATGAGCCCATGGGAAAGGGGCCTTCTGATGACTTGCCTTGTTCTGACAGAGGCCATGTCTTAGAAAACAACCAGATTCTCACACCAGTAACACAAGAACAAGCTGTGGGCCTCACATCTGGCATATCTGGGGTATTTTAGCTGGGTAACTCCAAGTTCACAGCTGAACCTTTCTGAATCTCCATTTAATATCCCAAGTGATGGGGCAGTAGCTTTTGTACCTTAAAGCTGGATGAAGAAATGACAGGTGCACACAATGCTCTCTGCACAGGCCTGGCCCCGAAGCACTCTGTGGACCTCAGGGCTGTAACCCATCACTGTGAGTGGCAATCTGGGCCTGCTGAGGGCTCCAGCACCAGCACAATCAACTCAGTTTCCTGACTGCACTGAGCTCTGGGGTCTGCATCTGCTGTTTGTGGAAAGAAATAGCAGCTCTCTCCCCTCCTGGATATCACCCCCAGCTCTACTTGGAAAGTTCCAGAGGATTTATGCTCCTCTCCGGCTGCCTTGCTGGCCATTCATCACAGGGCTGTTTCCCTGACAGTGGCCTGAGCGCGGCCACTGTCCCCGGCTTACCCCCCGATAGGTGTCCTCGGGAGATTTATTGTAGTTCCAGAAGCGCAGGCCAGCCAGGCTTTTGGCTCTGTCAAATCGGATTGTGACCACGTGGTCCAGCCCCGACCAGAAGGGGATCAGCCACATGTGCTCATCCTCTGTGGTGATGTTGACTCCGTCAATCAACCTGCCAGTGAGGGGGGTGGAGGAAGGAGCAGCCAGTGAGTGTGGCAGACCCCTGGGGGTGGAGGGTGGGTCACCAGGTTCAGCCAGGAGCTGTGACCAATGAGATCTACAGTGAGGGGGCGTGTCCCACCTATAAAATTAGACAAAATATTTTAAAAAGGTAAAAGAACTAAAAACAGACAATGCAGTCATAGGTGCAGTGAAGTAGTCATCAGATAAAAAAAAAAAAAGAAAAGGGAAATATGACGTATTTCAGAATCTTTTAACCTAGCAATCCTGCTTCTGGGATTTTTTTCACCCTTGTGGAAAATTTATTCCACAGATTGGAAAGGTTATCTGCACAAAGATATTGATTAGGGTTATATATACTGGCTACACACACTCACACACTCAGTACAACTTAAAATATCTCAGAATAGGGACATATTTAAGTAAATTTGAGCTAAATGATGATCATGAGCTGTTGTGATAACCCAGCAAAGGGAGGCCACACAATGGTGGGGACACTAAATGTAATGCTGGGAAATGAAGACCAGGACCGGGACAGATTGTGCAAAACTGAGACATATACTGGGTAGAGAGGGGATGGGGAGTGGTATTTTCTCTGTTTTCCCAACTTTCTGAGCTTTCTGCATTGGCTCTGTGGTACGTTTTGAGAGACACAAACCAGGTAAAAAGGAACTAAAACCCCACGGGATGAGGGCAGGAGGAGGCAGGTGACCCTGGGAGTAGGACTGGGCAAGATCGTGCCAGAAGCCATGGGCCTGGAGAAGCCCCAATCACAAGAGGGAGCCCCCAGCACCCTGTTCTCACCCAGCATCCTTCAACACCGAGGAGCCACTTCTCACCTCAGCCCCGTGGCACCTCTGTCCTTGTCAGCTTTGGCTCCGTGCCTGGGCCTCCCTGCCTCACTGCCCCAACTCTGCCTTGATCCTTGTCCTCCTGGCCCTGGCTCACAGCACTGCTTGAGCACGCACAGACCTGGGCCCGGGGGCAGGACCCCGCCGTCTCAGGCCTTGCCCTCCCCCTCCTTCACATGTCCTGGGCCTCCCGCACCAGATTCCTGATGACCCTGGACCTACTCACTGGGAGAGACAAGCTGCTGCCATGCTTACTCAATTTGCAAAATCTTCTTTCCTTTCACATTTTAAAGTTTGGGGCTTGGAATAAGTCCTGCAATCTAAATGTTCATCCCAGGAGGTAATTTTTTTTCTCCTCCAAAAAGCTGTTATTAAATTGATGGATGGTGTGTCTCACAACTGCTGGCATCTTAACACTGGGGAAATTCAGCGATTTGACACTGGGTGTTTGTAGAACTAAGCTGACTGAGAGAGAGCTACTACCAGTGAACCTTCCATTTCCTTCAAAGCAATTACTTTTCTGTCCTAGAAATGGAGCCACTGCAAAACTGCGGCTTTATTCTGAGAGCAGAGAGAATTGCTGAGGCACCCTTAGGTGACCATAAAGGAGGTCCCACAGACACCCTCAAGGGCATCTAAAGGAAAGCCTGGCTCTGTCCTCAGAGAGGCCTAGAAACCACAGCTGACCCAGCGGCAGCAAGCAGCCCCTGTGGCTTGACTATGGTCTCTAAATACCATTCCCACCAGAAGGCCAGGACTGCTTGGAGAAAACGCTGAGTAAGGTATGGGCCAAGAAATACACAAGATGAGCCTAGACCATTTTGTCACATCAGAAAGCAAGGAAGCTGCCAGAGATGGTTATTTTAAAAGAACTCAGTGGACTGGGGATGTAGCCTAGTAGTAAAGTGCTTGACTAGCCTGCACAAGGCCCTGAGTTTGAACCCCAGGCACCATAATAATAAACAAACAAATAAACAGACTCAGAAGCTCTCTATGTTCAAGAGGAAATAATCTGGGCACCAAAAAGCATAAAACGAGCAATAGATTAAAAGCCTTCAACCATAGCATGCCCAAATGGCCAGTTTATAATGATACCCAAAAACATTTGAAGATGTTTCAGAGAAGCCTTTGTTCTGCTGAAAACTAAGGGGGAAAGGAAAGAAAGCATGTAGGCAGCCTTGCTGTTTGAATCATGCCACAGAATAGTGAATTTCAGGGAAATTCTCTTTTTTGCAATCATTTTAGCAAGTAAATAAAAAAAGGCGTAAGAAGACTAGCAAATGAATCAGCTTGGTCCTGAGTGTGCCTGGCCACCACCATCACTGCAAACTTAGCAGATACACAGCACACACATCCCGATGGCCACACAGCAGCTTCTATACTGCTGTCTTGCCCCAGTGGCCAAACCTCAGATCAGATCTCTGAATCTAACCAACAACCTTCCCAGAGTACAGGGAATGGAGGAACAGGTTAAACAACACAGGGATGCAGGTGTTAAGACCCAGACTCCACAGGGTAGGGAAATGTGGTTCCTTCAAGAGCTAACTTACAAGTAAAATTTAGGAGAAAAAATCAGAGGGGACCCCAGCACAAAGCTGGAGAGACCTCTCAACCAATCGCATGCATAGATCTTATCTGGATCTCAATTCAAGAAAACAAACTGTAAAAGATCAAAAGACCATTGTATTGGACATCTGGTAGTTTAAAGAACCACTGTGTTAACATTTTTGGGTATGATAATGACACTGAGATTATGTTTTCCTTTTAAAGTTCTATTGATTAGAGATACATACTGAAGTATTTAGAGAGGATGAACAAGCAGGCCTGGGACTTCCTGCAAGAATGAGCTGGGCTAGTTATGGGTCACTTTGCAGCCAGCCAGGAGCCAGGTTGATGGGCTCCAGGTTTAACTACTCAGGAGAGTGAATTTTCAGAATACAGAGGTCAGAAGAGCCCATAAGCAGTCAATGCCAATCGGTGCCAGTAAGGGCCACCAGAGAGGCCACCTAAAGGGAAGCAAGCAGAAGCCTATCACTGGGACTACTCTCATTCATCACTATGGGCCTGGCCAAGGGGCATGAATGCAAGCAATGTGACAACCCCCTTCTAGATCCCCTTCTACTGATGAGGATACCAAAGCAGCTCACTTAGTAGTTAAGTGCCTGGGTGTGGGTATGGCCTGGCCTGCATTCAAATCACTTAACATATCTAATGACTTACTAACCTGCATCTCAAAGTCCTCATCTGTGAAGCAGGCACGACAATAATAGTGCCGAGGGAGATTTAAATGGATGAGTATCTGTGACCGTTAGTACAACCCACGCTTGGTATTTAGTAAGTGTTCAAAACACGGTTTTTAAAATATCAATTACTGTTGCCATTACTGTTACTATTGAAGAGGTTAAGAATCTCAACAGGTGGCAGAGGGCAGAGGCAGGATACGAACTCCTAGACTGCCTCTGACGTTCCTCACTCACCCCTCAGTGGCTAGGTGCCACAGCGGTGCAGAGCAGGGGGCCAAGCACCAGTCTGTGGGTATGTGTCCCCGGGATGGAGGCTGGTACCCTTGTGGACATGCCCCAGCTTTGGGCTGTGAAATCTGATGAGTACAGTGGAAATGTAGAGAAAGTTCCTAGCTCCAAAGGCCCAGAGTACTCATGCACCAAGGCAAAGCTGTGTACTGTGGAGGTTTACTGACAGCTACTGGCTCCCGTGTGTGGGCAGTAAACTTGGCCTGGTGGAGAAGCCTCAAACCACAGGGCGTCCACGGGTAGGGAGCATGGCCTTGTATCATGTCTACTCCCTCTAGCTGTGTGACTATGGGAGGATCACTCCCTTTCCTGAGCCTTGGTTCCCCATCACCACAGGACCTCACCGAAGGGTGAAGGGTGACATACGGGATCCTGTTGGGTGTTTGTGTCTGAAGCTTGAGATGAAGTGGAGCTTTCCATACACACTTACTTGTCCAGCGTCCGGGAGTCATCTGTGTACTCGGGAAGGTCATTCAGGTCACTAGGAGAGGCAGAGATCTGGTGCGGGTGGATAGGCAGGGCCTGGCCATCCTTGCCCACCACCTCCAGGCCAGTGAGGCCTAGGTAGTGTGGGTCCCCCCAGGACGCTGTGAAGTTCAGCTGGAGGCCTGTGGCGGGAAGAAAAGTGACTCATCAACACCGGGGACTCTAGTGCTGAGGAGGTGGAATGGGAAGAGCGCCTTTAGCCTCCACACTGTACAAACTCGAGCTGAGATATGCTCTGCCTCTTTCCTCTCGCAGCCCTTGGGACCAGACCATTGCCAAGGCTCAGGACATGTCTGTAAGCTGAACAGACTAGTGTTGTTTAAACTTGCATGTGGCCTGGGGTCACGCTATGCCGCCACACTTCGCCCCACACGTAACACCCATGTGTGGCTTTCCATGCTGTGTACCCAGCTCCCACCCACTTCTCCAGCTTCACTGTGCACCAAGGACCCTGAGCTCCATCCAGACAGTCTCTTAGCTGTTCAGATTTCTATTCCTCTCTTCCACCACGGACTTTCGCACATGTAGCTCCCTCCCTGTGGAACTCCTGACTGGGTGAACACATCCTTCAGATCACAGCACCCTTCCTCCTGACGTCCCTTACTATGTCAGCCCTCGATGCATAGCCGGCCATGCCACTGTGTACTTCCTTCTCTGAGTCCTGGTCACCACTGTGACCTTAGGATCGTTTGGTAAATATCTGTCTACCCTGCTGGGTGGGTAACTTCTTTTTTTCTCTCCTTCTCCTTCTCCTCCTATTCCTCCTCCTCCTCTTGTTTTGAGACAGGCTTTTGCTATACAATTCAGGCTGGCCTTAACTTACTTTGTAACCCAGGCTGGCCTCAAACGCAAACTCGTGGCAATCCTCCTGCCTCAGCCTCCCAATGCTGGGATTATAGGTGTGCACCACACACCCAGCTGGGTGATTAATTTCTTGAGAGAAATCTCATCTCTTTTTCTAGACCAGTGACAGTGAACCTTTTAGAGACCCACTGACCAAACTGCAACTTCAAACCCACTTATTTATTTCCAAGTGCTCACACTGCAAGTTAACCCGAACACTGAGGTTTTAGTTTGGAAAAGTAACTGTCACTTGATGTTTGGCTGGTGAGGTGAATTGCCTCCCGAGTTAAAAGAGTGGACTCTGTATGCCTGTGTGGCACATGTGCCACAGGTTCACCACCTGCTTAGACCATTGTGTCTGCAGATCTTGGCACAGCCCTCACACACAGTAGGGCTCAGCGCAGACAGAGGGACCAAACAAATCAGTAACTAAGTGACACTGCTTACACCAGTAAGCCCCAACTCCGGGACAGACTGACATTTTATACAAATTGGCCTCTACCCTGAAGAATCGCATGGAGTCAGGGTAAAGGAAATAACCTCTGTGACATCTCCAGTCTTCTGTCCCTGCCCTCACCTGTACTCCACAGAGGCCATTTAAGAAGTGATTTTCTGCCCTGGTGCAAGACAGCCCTGGGGACTCCTTCATCTGCCCAGAAAGCTCACACTGGATGAACCTCCTGGTGGCACGACATGTGTGTCACACGGCTGGAATCTCTCCTTCCTTCTTGCCCTCTCCTCAGAGCAGGACCAATGCCAGGGCACTCATCTGCCCCGGAGGATCTGAGGCCTATTTTAGCATCCTTTTGGTGGCTGAAATCAATCGATTCCTGTTCTCTGTAATTTCCTCAGAACGGAAATGCTGCTGTGATGAAGGAAACCCAGTGTCATCTAGTCCTGACACACTTCTGCTCAGAGAAGCTGCAAGCCCAGAGAGGCTATAGAAACCAGGTGTTGTGGCACATGCCTGTGATTCCAGCACCTGGGAGGCTGAGGCAGGAGGACTGCCACGAGTTCAGAGCCACTTTCTGCTACATAGCGGATTCAAGGCCAGCCTGGACTTCATAGCAAGACCATGTCTCAAAAATAAAACAAAAACAAAAAACAGAAAGGCTATAGGACAGCCGTGTATCTAGGGCATGTCCCCTAATTTCCCTGAGCTTGGTATCCTGTCTGAGGTCCCTGTTTCCCAGTATTTTTTGTGTGACTCAGCTCTCACATCTTGCTTCTCTTCACGGTCCCAAGGTCACTCGGAAAGGCCTGCACAGCACTGAGCACACCACTTTGCATGGCTTCAGGAGTGTGCACGATGGCTATCCTGTGTTCCTGCCCCTATGCAGCATGACTTTGCTGTGCATCCCGTGTTTCACTGGAGTCCGTTTCTCCACCCCACATCTGCCAAGTGACCCACCTGGTCTAACAGGACAGAAGCAAATGTCACACAGACAGGGCTATAAGGTGTGTGTCCTATTCTATTTTTCCACGTCTGCTTGGAAAGGAGCCAGGTTGGCCAGTCCCCGTCACTCTGGCCCACAGCTGCTGGACATCATGGGTCTTCAGCAGCTGGTCCACCCACCAGCTGATTGGAACACAGCAGGCTCACAAGAAGCCAACCAAGCGGATCAGCTGAGAACTGCCCAGTCAGGACACAGATTACATGCCAATCATGGAAAAATAGTGACTTATACTACTAAAATTTGGATTGGTTTGTTCCACAGCAAAAGCTAATCAATATACCCCTTCTGTCATTTCTTGGGAGGTCTTCCTGGATGGTATGAACTCAGCGACCCCTCCATCACCCTCTCTATTGCCTTGAGCCTTGCCTGAAGTTTTGTTCAAAGCTCTTAATACCATCTGGCTATGTAGTCTATATTATGTGCTTATTCTTTTATTAGTCTCCTCAACTAAAATGGAGGCTCCATGAGGTCTGTTGGTTTTGCTGTTATATCTTCAGAGTCCAGAACAGTGCCTGGCACACACTATTCAATCAGTTTTTATTTTAAACACATGACTGATTGAAAATGTATATAAATTTCCATTTACATAAGTAGAAATTAATTTTGTAAGTATTCAGTAGCTGTCTGCAAGCAAGTAAGGCAAAATAAAACTCCTGAACCCCACCAAACTGATAGTGAATGGTAAACAAATATTCGTGGACCATCTACTATGTACCAGATCCTAATCTGGGCATTGACTATGACAGGGATGGGGGAGGGATAAGTAACACACGAGAATCTCTGAGTTCAAGGTGCATTCATTCTGACGAAGACACCACACACACCTAACAAATACGTAAATAAATACTGTAGTTCCACGGAGTGGTGAATGGTATGGAACAAAGGGAGCCACAGAGCCACAAGAAGGGAGGCTGAGGAGAAGCAGCGGTCAGGAGGGCCTTTCCAGAGGGGACAGTTGGGCTGGGGCCCGGGTGCTGAGAAGCAGCCTGCTTTACTTTTGCATTTCTTCAAGAACATCCTGGGCTGAGAGGAGAGCAAATGTGACCCACAACTGGGCCGTGAGGAAGAGCAGAGGAAAAGGAGGCTGGAAAGCGGGGTGAGGCTGATCCCCGGAAGGCTGCCTCTTCCTGGCACGGGAAGCTAAGCAGGCTGCATGTTCTGGACACGCTCTGCAGGGCACCTGGGCAAGGAGGCAGCGGGAGGAAGCCTGGTGCTGGACCCGGGGGCCGTGCTGAGGACAGGGGGAAGTGGACAGACGGAGGATCTGTTTTCAGACAACGTCACTAGGTCTCAGTGGCCTGCATGTGGAGGGAGGGAAAGAGGAGCTTCTGACCTAGGCAACAGAGAAGCCGTGGGTGGCATTCCTGATGGAGGAGGGCTGGAAGTGGAGGACGGGTGGATTGGGACGAGAGGGTTCAGTGTGAGGGAGAAATGCCACCTCCCCAAGTGGAAACCAAAGGGACAGTGGCCTGCCTTCTCCCAAGCCTGCCATCTCTTTGTTTGCCTGGCAAGATGTGCCGATTCCATCTAATCTGGAGCGCTCTGAAAAAGATTACTCTCTTTTTTAAGCTAATACCCACACTCCATATTCATTTTCCTTGGGTGTATCAATTAGTATTTATATAAATGGAAATTAATTTTGTTATTCCTCTCCCATGTTTCAACCCCCTCAGCTCTTTTCCTATTCATCACTGCTGATATTTGCAAAACTTCCAAAATTAGTGTCATTTGCAAATTAGCAAGTCATAGCTTCCCTTTCAAAATATTAATAGGATTTGGCCATATTCACCAACCACAGCACATCCCCTGGGTTGTTTTATTAAGGCTCTCTCCCCTTGCAGATGGGTGAAGGAGGTGGAGTTGGGATATGGGGTGTAGTTGGGGGCAGGAGGGAAAGGTTCGGGGAGGAGAAATTTCAGAATCCCAGGCCTAGGGACAGATGCAGGGGGGCATTTGGAGGAGAGACCTTGCTACTGAGATCAGCACAGAAAGTCCACTTTCCTTACAGCAGAAAGGACTCTGAGTTCTACCTCAGCGTAAAATTCCCCAAGACACTACACTACCATCTCTGAGAAGGTCAGGAGCTGATTGAGTGGGAAAGACATTTATAAACAGCATCTTGCAGACATCGGCAGATGAAGACAGTAGTGACTTCTGTCCCGCCAACACTCTGCCTGCCTTCCTTCCGATCAGAGCACTCTGTCTTCACTAGAGAACAGTGCCATGCTCAGCCCATACTGAGCGGCTGACTCCTCACCCTGGGCTCCAGGACTGGATGCTGACCAGGCCTGGCTGCTCTGTACTTTTCATTTCTCACCTCCTCCCTCCCCACCAGGGTAAGCCAAGGTGACTGGCTTGTGGATGGCTTGTGACCCAAGCTGGAGCCAGAGCCTTAACTGTGGGACAGCTGTTGGCCCCCTGGGAGACAGAGCCATGTCTTATCTGGGACTGCAGGGCAGAAGGTAGATGTGAATCCAGAGCTCCCAGAAGTCCGCTGTGGACAGCTGGAATGGTGGAGCACAGGGAAGGACAAGGCAGAAATGGAGAGACACGCCAGGGCTCAGTGACACCATTTTCATGTCTGTGTCCATCTGTGTATGCAACTGCGACCTTTAGCTTTTGTTTTGTAAGACAGTACTGTTAATAGCCCTTTTTCCTTAACTCAGTTGGAGTTCAATTTCCCTTGTTCATAAAAAAATATAAGAAAGAATCTTGACCAACAGAGGGGAGGGGCAACTGCCTAAGAAACAACTGTGGTCTTGTGGGGACTTGCAGCTTCCCAAGGGAAGCTGACTCTTACAGGGACCTCTGATGTGGGGTGGCCTCTCACTTGCAGCAGTGCGGTGCGGACATGGCTTACACCCAGCTTCAGTACTAGCTGTGCGACCAGGGGCCGTTACTCAAGCTCACCACCCCTCAGCTTCCTGGTCTAATCTGGAAGATGGAAATGGACAGTAGGGGCTGGGCGTGGCCAGTGCCTTTGGCAAGGAAGACCCCTGTGTGTGCCTGCATGAAAAACAAAGCCTTCCTCAAACCAGGCTCTTGCCTACATTAGGTTGGTTTTTTAGAATGTTGTTCTGGAGAGTTGCCTGGAATGTGAGGGTTTGTGGGGATTCCAAATAAGTCACCTTCCTATATTCTACAACACTTTATCTTTCTTAGTGGGATGAAGCTCTCACTGAGGACGGAGGGAGGGGACAGCTGCTGCTGAGCACAGCTGAGTGGCCCAAAGGAAGGGCATGGTGTGCACTGCCAAGACCCCTCCCAACCCCCCGGGACTGAAGCACTGGAGGGTGAAGGCCTGGTTCACTGCTGAGAACGCCCACTTGAGACTCCCCAACTCTCTGCAAAGGGCCCTGCTGGGGTGGGGGGTACAGCCCATATCTAGTGATCTGGGGACACTACTCCTTCACTTTCCTAGGACACCCTGAAAGGCCCTAGCCTCCGAGCATCCTGCAGGGCTGACTGAAGCCTGACTTCTCCCTCCACCTAATCCTCAGACCCGCCTGCTGCCATGCCCCGATGCAGGGCCCAAGTGCAACCTGGATGTCACTGCAGAACTGCTCTCAGACTCTGGTCAGTGCCAGGAGGGCTTTGGGCGGGGTGTGGGGAGGAGCAGGCCAAGGGCTAGGGCTTCACTCTGGGCCTCAGGGGGAAGGGGGGAACAATGTCATAGCTCTTGTTTTCAGGAAATGAACTGGAATGGGGAGCAGGCACAGGGGATAAGACAGAGCTGGAAGTGAAGCTGCCTGAAGACCACAGGCAGAGCCTGTCAAGAAAACATGGGGAGGAGATCACAGCTAGCTATGACCTTGGCCTGCAGAGCCTGGGAAGTTGGAAGATGTGGATGGGCCTGAAGATGGGGAGGAGCTGGCAGCAAGGAGGCCTGGAGAAGGGATGAATAGCCAGGGACCAGATGGGATTTATCCAGAGGTCACGGCAGGTGTTTTATTAGGCTTATGCAGTATCTTAAAACATAAAATTATTCAACATTTAAGAATCTGGAGAGCTCATACAAAAAGCTGGATTGCTGACCTCGCAGAGGTCAAAGAATCTGGTACCCAGGGCGGTGTTTGTACCACCCCACCCACCCCCACCCTGGTCAACTGGAAAGGGGAGACACAGACTGGCCTGGGGTATTCCTCTGCTCTGAGGCTGCATGTGAACCAGCAGCTCCCACCACTTTGGGGACAATTCATTGCCCAAGGCCCCTCTGGTGCTGAGCGCTCCTCTTCTACACTTGTAGGCTCCAGCTCCAGCCTCCCCATCAGACCCACAGTGGACACAGGCCTCCATGTGCAAAATGCAAACTACCCCTTGGGAAGGTAACCTGCAAGGAGGCACTGCTCCTCCGAACGGGGGCAGCCTTGCCAGGCCAAGTTCAGAGCCCTTACTTGCCCCACAGCCTGGCATTTCTGTGGAGTGTGCAACTGGCTAACTGACCAAGGAAACCCTGCCCCAAGTGGCTGGAACACCCCTCCACACTCTGGGCAGGCAGTACTCACAGATGCCATGGTAGATGCCTGGTTCCGGTGTGGTGACTTCAGAGAGAGGGGCACTGGGTGGCAGCTCTAGCCCCGGGGCCTGCACAGTGGTCAGGGAAGAAGCAGAGAGAAAGGGGGTTGTTTTAGTGGCACTCACACAGCTGGCTTGCTGTGTTCCAAATACAGAGGCCTACCCCACGTCCCGGGAAATCCCTGCTTCTTTTCTGGCACATCAGCCTTTGCAGAAGCTCTGTGACTAGTGTGCGCCTTCGGGGCTGATCCCTGCCAGCTGCAACTGCTGGCAGTGGAAATGAGTGACATTACGGTAAGATGCTTAGGTTTTTCTTAACAGACGGACCCTATAATGTTCATCTAGGGAGAAGGAGGGAGGAAGGAAAGAAGAAAGGAAGAAGGAGGGAGAAAAGAAGGCAGGATTCAAACTGAAGAGTGCTTTGCAACTTGGCTGTTCTCAGGGCCAGTACCTCCAGGTGGGGCCTAGGTGTCTACATTTCTAAAGTCCCACTTGACTCTCATGAGCAGTCAGGATAAAATCAGAAGTGGCTGCCACACCTACTCCTTGGGTTCCATGTCCACACTGCTAATTATTTCTCTGCACCCTATGTCAGGGCAGAATTGTCTTCTCTATTTTACAGAGACAGCAGACTGATGCACAAAAAAGGAGCAAATCTGCTTGTCTCCAGTACATGACGCTGGGTCCATCCATGAGGTCCCAGTGAGAACCTTTGTTTCCTGGAAAACCTGGGCAATGGGAAACCTCGAGGTCAATTCCCAAAGGGAGACCACAGAGCAAGTCAGACCATGGCATGTTTAGTAGCCGGAGAAAGTTGGAACACATCTGCATTAGCTGTCCTTTTTAAATTGAGATTTTACATAAAAACCAAGATTTCTAGCTTCTCTTGAGACTAACAAGAGCCAGTGGGTAAGCAAACTGTCGCCTGGGCAGTGTGACAACTGCTTTCCTTAGATGTAGGAGGGACACAATGGTGCAGTGATGGTGCCTCCACTGCCTGCCATCTTGTCCTCCTGCTCTGCCTGATCCTGCAGTGTGATCCAGCAGCACATTTTGCTGCTGGGCCTTGGTCATGACATTCCCACAACCCACCCTTCTCTCCTGTTGCTTCTGGCTGTTCCCAGCCTCCGGCCCACCGGCTTAATAATCTCCTTTCCCCTCATGTTCACAAGAAGGTCCGCAGAGACTCTGGCGACTTGGACTGACGTTTCCTTTGAAGATCATCTTATTTTTTAAAAAAATGTGTATAATGATGAAAAGCATAAGGTTTAGACCCATGAATTCAAATTCTAGCCGACGTCCTCTTAGGTAAGTCATTTAACCTGTCTGTGCCTCAGTTCCTCAATGGGAACGCAAAGTGGCTCAAAGGCCACTGTGGGGGCAAACACACTAACGCAGGACCACACGTGCATGGCAACACCACTCAAATGCAACCGCCATGGCCATGCTGACTGTGACTCAAATTGCAAGGCTGCCTGTTAAAGGGATGTCTGGTTTCGCATCCAAAACACCGTGAGGGGTCAAAACACAACCCAAAGGAAAAACTCCTCCGAGACTGCCAACTTCTAACTTATACACATGACACACAGCTGACATCTTGTGGGTTCAATTAAAATTCAGTTGCATTCTTCACTTTGGTTAAATATACAAAAAATAATTAGAGAGCTAAATATGACATACAGGACAAAAAAATGAAGGAAAACAATGGGGGAATGTCACAATAGTAGCCTGAGCAACTTAAAGGATCTGTCTTAATTCTTTTCACCCTACTTTGAGCTAGGAGCAGAGTGGCTGCGGGCTGCCTCCGCCCAGTCCTACCCAGTCATCGGTGCACAAGCCGGCCTGGGTGAAGGGCCGCTCCTGGCCATCGCTGTCAGCCGTGCTGGGTCTCCGTGGCGTCTCCTCCAACTGCAGGTCACACAGGCTCTCCACGTCAGCACCAAACATCTCATCTGAACAGAATACGGCTTCGAGGATGTCGTCGTCAGTTGTGAATAAGATGGTGTCTCCAAAGTGCTCTGGGGCTGAGTGTGTTACCAGGAAGACAAAGGGGCAGTTCATCTCACATTTCAACCATGTGAATACTCAGAACCTAAACCCATCAACCTTTGTGCCGTGTGACCCCAACGACCTAAAGGTTGCTGGCTGTGTTTGTGAGCTGTCTTATTCCTCACATTTGCAAATGGAGAAGCGAGTTCACAAAGCCTAAGATCCAATTAAGGGACCTCTGGGAACCAGAACCACTATAATCTGCTATCAAACAGGTGACATTTATTTCTTTGGTGTGGGTGGGGCAATGTAGCTGATGCTTCAGGTGTCACACCCAGGTCCCTGCTCATTCTTTTCACGGGTGCCTTTCTGAAAGGGTGTGAGTGTTCCACTTCCAACCTGGGAAACTGGCTCCAGGGACTGACCAGCTCCCAATAGCCCGCTCCTTTGCCTGAAGCCAGGAGACCACACACTTTATGGTCTGCAGCTCCCTAGAGATGTGCCCAGGCTTGGCTTCCCCCGAAATTATAACCTCATGGTCTGATCCCAAGATTCCACTAAAAGCACTTGTACAATGCATTACTCCAGGACAGAACCCTTCCGCAGACTCAGGACTCAGTACCCTAATACACTTAGGCTCTCTTAGTGGAGGAGATGAAAAGACATGAGGCCAGCTCTGGCATGCCCAGGTTGCAAGAAAGACCCTCAATGTTGTAGGTAAGCCTGGGGGTTTATTTTTTCCGCTCACAGCCTCAATGAGCAGCACATGGGGGCTTCAAGAACATCCTGCCAATTATACCATACCTCCTGTCAGGGTCCCTGAGGCCTTGGCGATCTCTCCGTCAAAGATGCACTGCCCATCCAATAGCATCGTGATGTCCTTCACGCCCCGGAAGGAATGGATCCTGGATTTGTTATAGTTCCACACCCTGATCAGGGCGACTTGGCAAGGGTGCATGAAGTCAATGGAAATGGAGTGGGGCTGGCCTGGAGTGAAGGGGGCTAGCCAGACATGCATATCATCTTGGGTCCTATTCACCCCGTCAATGAGGTTGGTGACCACTCGAGGGTCTTTACCGTAAGCTGGCAGAACATTGATGTCAGGTGGATCTGCTGTAATGGCTGAAATGTGCACTGGTTCCCCCTTGGAACTGAAGATTTCTATCCCGTTAAGCCCGACATAGTGTCTGTCACCCCATGTAGACTTGATGTCAATGACCAGGTGCTGCCCATAAGGCAAGACAGGGATTTTGAAGTCACTGCTGCCATCTGTCTCCACAGAGCAGTCAGTTTGCATCTTTGATAGCTCTGACTCTTCAGCCCTGCAGGGTGGTGGCTGGTCCCTGGACCGACTGCTCCTCTGTTGCTGCAGGAACTCATCCAAGATGTCCCCCTGGGGCTCCAGGTGGGAGATTCGGCCCCGATGGGAGCGGTTGAAGGCACTGAGGGAGTCCCATGACTCGTGCAGCATGTGTTCCTGCTCAGTGCGACACCATGATCGTGGAGGCGTCTTGGTGGCCCGAGTGTCCTCTGGAAGAAAGCACATGAGAGGGATGATGCCGTTAGCGGTACATGCAGAAATGTGGACCTTTCGGAACTGTCTTAGGTAGTGCCTCTCATTCAGGACTGCCACCATCCAGAGAGTGTCATCCAAACCACATGGGCCACTCTTGGCTGTCTCCTTGCCTCAGGGGCCCTACCTGCATTTGAAGGATGGGTCTGGGATGTTACTGTCCTACCCTGCACAGGACAAACCTGTCCCACACAATTTCCAACTCCACCACTACATGTTCATGTTGGCAAAAAATTATTTACGATCACTCAAACCTAGAACTTATTTGTTTTACAAACAAAATATTTTTAATAGACTTCCATTTTGCTAAAAATACAACTATTATAGAAACCAAAGGGAAGTTCAATTTTGGATCTTGAAGTCTCCAATGGCCTACGTGTTAAAGGTTTGGTTCCCCAGACTGCAGCAGAACCCTTGTGAGGTGGGGTCTGGTCAGATCACCGGGGCGGAAAGCCTTGAAGGGGACACAAGGGCTCCATTTCCTTCTCTTTCTGCCCTTTCTGGTCCCCATAGGGGAGTAGCTTCCTTCTCCACAAACTGGAAGCTACCACCATGATGTGGTGCCTCAGCACAGGCCCTGAACATCAGTGCCAACCAATCAGAAAGCAACACTCTCGGAACTGTGAGCTGCACCGGCCTCCCTCCCTGTGAGCTGTTCTCTCAGGCGTCTCACAGCTGTGAGGGAAAGTGCACACCGCAAGACCATTTGGTCCCGTCAGAAGTCCTTCCCTGCTTCAAAGCTCTCAAGACGCAGGCGACACTGAGTCAGCGACAGGAGGGGCTGTGCTTGAGGTGGCACATGACTAATGACACAACTGAAAAGTACCAAATGGCAGGTGGAAGCCTTGAGAAAGAATGTAAGAGGGGAAAGCCCGATGTGCAGCTTTAGATGCAGTGCGTTCAAGCACAGGTGAAGTGTGCCAGGGTGGCAGGCGGAGAGTAGTATTATTGTCTTCTTTATATTTTATCTTGCAGATTCCTTACTTGTATTATTTTTAAAGTCAAGAAAAAATGTAATCTACTAGAAAAGTAAACAAGCCAGGTACACTACAAAATAAGGGATCTGCTTCCGTGTGTAGCCAAAGCCCACAGCCCCAGATTGCCGGGAACCAGGCCAGCCCTCCACAGACGCCCTGGAGACCTTGGTGTGAGCATCAGGCAGAGTGTAGTGCTTGCAGCTACACCACAGCCAACCACTACCCAAAGGTGTCATTTGGAAAAACAGCAGCCAGCGACACTGACATTCTGTTTTTCTCCCCTTTTATATCATACCGTGCCCTGCACTCCATTTTCTGCTTGTCTTGGTGGGGGCCTGGCTCCATCAATTATCTCCTCCCTCCAGGATCTTCAATCACTCCTTCCCCTCTGGCACCTACCCTCACTCTGCCTGTACACACACATAAATCTCTTCTACCTAGGAGGGAAGAAATGGGAACCTGGCCTGATTCTGTGGCTCCCTCCAAACACTCCCTGGTTTCTCCTTTTCATGCAGATGCTGTGTCTCCCTCAACCCCCTGCCATTTGCTGTCTCTTTGTAGAGTTATTGTTTTTTTCCACCTCAACTCAGCTTACCCTTCTTTGATTTCCCTTTGTAGATGCCCCCACCTTCAGGCCATCCAGACTGAGAAGGGCTGACAGTATCCTTCCCAGCTGAGCTCACAGAGAGACTGGCTTTAAACAGGCCATGCTGGGCTGGTAGGATATAGGAGTGGACTGGAAGGGGCCATTTTGCGACACTTTGGGGAGAATCTGTGTCTCAGTCACTTTCTTGTTGCTAGAACATAATACCTGACACCCACAACTTAAAGGAGCAGATGTTTATTTTGCCTCATGTTTTTAGTCCCACAGCTACCTGGTTCTAAGGCAGGATGACATAGCAGAGGAGCTTAGTGGATGAAACCCTGCTCATGTCACAGTGGTCAGGGAGCAAAGAACAAACCCAGATATGGGAAAGATATGGTGTGCTTTTTCAGGTCACAGCTCCAGTGACCCACCTCTTCCAACCAGACTCTACCTCCTAATGTCACATTTAGCTATAGCATCCCCATAATTTAATCTCCTTTTGAAATCCCTTCTTATGAGTGCATGAGGCCTTGGGGGAACATTGAGATATAAACCATAACATTCTGTCCCTGCCCCTCAAAGGCTCATGTGCTTTTATGCAAAATGCATTTATTCTATCTCTAAGAGTTGCCAAAATCTTAATAGTTACAGTACTGTGGAAAAAGTCCAAATCCAAAGTCTCCTCTGAGACTTACAGGAGAGTTTAGCTGTGAGCCACTGTAAAAGTGAAAAAGAAAATTAAACACTGCTGACACACAATGGCATAGGATAAAAATCCTCCCTTCCAAAAAGGGGGAGCAGAGGGATAAAAATGAATGAGACTAAAGCAAAATGAAAACCCAGCTCAGCAGCTCCATGTGCAGTATCTGAGTAAACTGTGGCAAGATACAAATTCCAAATGGTTTTGGCGGCCCTGCTCCTACAGGACTGCCTAAGGTTATAGTCCTTGTGATCTCTCTCTTGGACTGGCTTTGCTCACTCCTTGTGGCTTTTCTCAGACATTTATATTCCTGGCTTCTCCAGTTTTCTGGGGTTTCCACTACACTTTCATTCCCACAGCTTTCTACATTGCCCTCTCAGGGGCACACTGCCTGCCCTTCTAGGCCTTTTTCTGAAATCTGAGTTGAAGCTTCTCTGACCCCACAACTCTTGCATTCTGCATGCTTATAAAACTAGCACTATATGGATGGTGCCAAGGTCTGCTGTCAGTTCAAGCAGTAGCCTTGTCCCCTTGAACCATACATGTAGAGGTTTCTGAGGATAGCTGAGCACTGTGAAGTGAATTCCAGCAAACCAATTCATTAGGTGGCTTTTCTAGAGCATGGTGCCTTGTAACTCTTCTCAAATTAAAGCTTTACAATTTTCACCCTTGATCTTGAAAAGGTGAGGTCTTGCAGGTTCCTCACAAAGCCTCAAGTCATCCATCCTTCCTAGTGTCCCAATGCAGTTTCTTCCTTTTAAGGCTAATCTTTTCAGCAAGCAACCTGTTCTGAAATTTTGTAAACCCCAACTTTACAGAAGTTGCCTTACCAGTAAAACTCAAATCTTCTAAAAGTCTCTCAGGTGTGTTTTCTGCTCTTGATCTCAATGTAGGTTAAAAGCCCCCAGCAGTACCTATACCACAGCCTTAACATTGGTCTTCCTTAGTATGTTCCCCACCATATTAATTAGTCCACTGTCCTTAATGTAAGTCTCCTGCAAAGTCTTAGGACGTGAGCAAAATGTAGAAATTTTTTTCCACCGGAAAATAATATATATGGTCTGGAGTCCAACTGCCAATGGCATTCTTGTTCCCAGCTGAAATCTCCTGAAACGGATCTTTACTGTCTACATTTCTATTCACATTTTGGTCTTCTGAGCTCTGACCGGAATCTCTCATCAAGCTCAGCTTACAGAACTGTAGGGATGACTTTCCAGACAGCATTTCCAAACCTTTCCAAATTTCCTTTGATAATTCAGTTCCAAAGACTTTTGAACCACATGGTCAGCAATACGCCCACTTCACTAAGACCAAAGTCTGTCTTGGTCACTTTCTCATTGCTGGGGCATAATATCTGACACTCATGACTTAAAGGAGAACAGGTTTATTTTGGCTCATGCTTTCAGTTCATGGGCAGCTGTCTTCGAAGCAAGAAGGTATGGAAGACGGGCATAGTGGAGGAAAAGCTGCTCATATTATGGTGGCCAAAAGCAGAGAGAAGGGAAAAGCCAGGAGGGAGATACCCCCTTTCAGGTTATGCCCCTAATGATCCACTTCTTGCAACCAGGCCTCGTTTTCTAGTATCACATTTATCTACAGCACCATCATGATTCAGTCACCCTTCAAAGCCCACCTATGATCACATGAGGTTTTGGAGACATCTAGATATAAACCGTAACATCTTGCCTGCAAATGAAGGCTACATGGGGAACATGAGCTAAGAGATGAAGATACAGACCTGAAGATGCTATCTGAGCTCCTGAGTCCAGCCGTGCCTGAGGCCAAATTCCTGGTGGCTTTCTGTCCTCTGCATTTGTAAGAATTCTACAATTCCCAGAATCTTCTGCTGAAATGCCTTTCTATAAGTGAACACTGATTCCCAGTCTTTTCGCAGTCTTCATGTTTGACATTCCAGGAAAACCTCTTACATGTGATATTTCCTCTCTCCCTGGCCTAAGAAACACCTTTGGTTCTCTCCTTCTTGATCAGCAGCTCCGTTTTCTCCCATCCCAGGGCCACCCTCCCACCACCCAAGTCTGGGAGTGCTCCAGGTTTGCCACCAAACCTGCTCCTTCCTGATACCGCCACTCCTCTTGGCCCTAATCTACCCTGACTCCAAAATGGGCACCTAACCTCACACATCAAGCTCTGGCCTCTTTCCCCTAGCCAACATCTTCCAAATCCAATGTCTACACGATAAGTCCAGACAAGTCCACTCTGTCACTTCAACTTCCATGTGCCTCCAACAGTTTGGAGGAGCCTCCCACCATGCCCACAGGGGCCTGCATATAGTCCCCTCTGGCTTCTGCACCTCTCCCCCATAGGATTACCTCACTCCAGTTGTTGGTCTTTCTGTAGCCAGTGCATACTAAGTCTCTTCTTGCCTGGAAGTCTTTGCCCGTATTGTGCCCTCTGCCAGAAATGCTCTCCCTCTAGATGTCTCCTAGGCTAGGTCTTCTTGTCACAACCTCCTTGGAGAAGCCTTCTCTGCCACACATCCCTGCCTCTGCTGTGTCGCAGTGCCCACCAGAGTGTCTGATATGGGGAAATGCTCAGTATTTTCTGTTAACGGGATGAATAGCTGGCACCATGTTTCTGCCCCTACCCTCTCCCCTGAGATAAAGTCTGAGGCTGCGGGATGCTCCATCCACCTGTTGGTTCTCCTGCACCTGTTCTCTCCCCACCCCTCCTCATCTTCCATTAAAAAAGAGTACAGAAGTTCTCCCACCCTCTCCTCCAGGAACAAGGTGAGACATCTGGAGAAGGAACTCCCTATATGGACTGGCGCCGCTTAGGTTTATGTGATTTGATTTCTTCTGATGGAAATGAATGGCTGGGGTTGGTGTGCAAGTCCACTGAAGAGCCAGCACTGCACGTTACATGTTGAGGACTTAGGCTAAGGCTTTCAGCTTTGATGCAGCAGATAGGCACTCAACCTCCTTTCTATGTCTGCTTGCTGACCTCTTCTCCATGAGGTTCACACTCTGAGACTGAAAGTAAAGAAGTGCATGCTTGCTCCTGGACCTCTCAGATGTGACAGCTGGCTGGAGCCCACATGTCTCTCTGTCTGTGAGAGAATACACTGCTCCCTAGTGTCTGGGACCAATATTCTGTCCTGTCATTGCTGATATTTTTATTGTAAACTCGAAGGGCAGCAGAAAGCTGTTGCTGCAGTCTGCAGTCAGTGTGGTCTGGAGGGAACACTGATTACCACATGATGGGCTCCAAAATTCCAAATTACTAGTGAGTTGAGCCTAATATGAACTAGGAAGCTCTGAAGTTGAGTTTATAAAAACTGACTGCGCCACTACGAGGTATGAACTAACTGCTAATAAAGGGAAGTGGCAAAGTACATAGTGAGATATACAGTGCTTGGGTTTATTCTTATGAGTCACTCCTTAGCCATTGCTGATGGGACAAGGAGTTGACACTGGACCCAACTAGACCAATCAGTTGCTTCTCTGAGACTCTGGGATTGGCTGCTGTAGCCACAGCTGGGACAGGGTTATCAGAGGGCTGAGGCCAAAGGCTGCCTATAAATAAAACAAAGAAAGCTAACTGCAGGAGGAAAGGCAGGCTTGCTGGCCAGAGGGACTAAAGGTGGGCCCAGAAGTCCAGGAGGGACAGGAGGGAGCTCTGCAAGTTCCTGACACCTTTCTGGTTCCTTGTTTCTGTTCCATTTCATGAACAGCTGCCTTTAGGGTGAGGAGCTCTGTGAGCATGCTCCAAATAGCACCCCTCTACTGCTCACGTCGGCTGATAGGACTTCACCTGTAGCCACCTGACCCTGGGCAAGGGTACCTCTGAAATGCAGATGTCATCACTACGTGATGCTCTGCTGGCCTAGCAGTCTCTGTAAGGCTGTCTCACAGTGCTGATGTCATCACAGTCCCAGGGCACTGGGAAGGGCTGGGCCTGAGTGCTTTCCCCCGAGGCTGTGGGCTATAGGACTTAGCCCTAGCTAATATGTAATTTAAAATTTCTAAGCAACTTTCTTTTTTAGCATGATCGGCTTAACAAGCATTACATCTGAAAGGCTCAGTGCTTAAGGTGTCATTGAGCCAAGGAATGAAATGCTTGGAAGGATATTACTGTGAGACAGTCTTCTAAACTTGGGCAAGTTAGAATTTTACCTGTCACCCAGGAACTCCCAGAGGCTCTGGCACAACTGTTTACAAGGATGTTCGGAATGACCTGACTCTCCTGGGGCAGGGTGACAGCCTGACAGCCACTGTAACAGGGCACCTTAACAGGTAACCTGAAGCGTGGATGTTGCAGCTGGTTGGCCTAAATACACATCTAACTGCAGCCTTCCCTGGCTATGTGACCTCAGGAAAAGCTGCGTCAACCTCTTATTTTCTTTTCCGTACAATGGAGTTCTGCAAATCTGAGCACAAGGTATCCCACTTTTGGATGAGGTGCTTGGACAGGTCCTGACTAACTGCAAACAGGTCAAATCCAGCTGCTACACACCTTCTGACACTGTTCCTTCTACCCTGCAGAGGATTCATCATGAGCCAGGAGCCTGTCCTCAAAAAGATGTTTCTTTTTGTCCACCCTCTTCTCTGGCCTCATGCACAGTCTTACTGTAAATTCTCAGCAGAAATCTGTAAGGAGCCAGAGTGGACCCACAGGGAGCACTTCTGAATCCTAACTGACAGGTCAGGAGTCTGCCAGATACTGATAGAGTAGATGAGATTTGATTAATTAAAAAACACAAGCATTGGCTTTGCCTATTGATATATTGGCAAAAGGTAGGATCAGAGTGCAGGTAGGAAAGGAGGAAGGGGAGGGAAGAAGAGGAGGGAGGAATACAGAGGAGAGAGAGGAGAGGAAGAAGGGGAAGAAGTAGGGGGAGGATGGAGGAAGAAGAAGGGAGAAGTAGGAACAGGAAGAGAGCAGCAGTAACATCTGCTGGACACTTCTATGGGCCAAGTTCTGGGCCGAGCATTGTGCCTATGTGCTCCCATCTGATTCTTCTAGAATATGTATGGGCATAATCAGTGTCCTCTTACAGGTAAGCGAACTGAAATCTGAATCAAAATAAACCTTTCCTCCTGAAAGGAGTTCTGACACACAATAGAAAGTGGACCAGCACAATTCCCAAGTCAGACTGCTGCCTGGAGCTTACCTCTGCTGATAGGCTGGTCATCACCATGACTACCACCGACAGCCTCCTTCTTCAGGGCCCTCCTCCCACTAGCAGGGCGCTCTCTGCTGCGGGGCTGATTAAAGAAGTCTAAGTCATCACCACAGACTTTGGGGGCTACCCTTTGGGGTCTCTCCCCAGTGATGACATTCCAGCTGGCCCTCCGTCCTTGCTCTTGCCAGGGGCTTTTGTCCTTGGCCTCAGGCTCTCCAGGACTCCCAAGAATGGCATCATCAGATGAGAGCCTCCCTTTGCAGTCCACTGGCTCCTCAGGACCAAGCCAGAGGGGCTTTGGCTTCTTTCCCCCTTGTTTCCTGTCCCTCCCTGTTGTAGAGGGCTGTAACCAGCATGGGGTTTTCCTTGGTGGTTCAGAGATTTTCCTGCCAGTGAGGTCTTCCAGCTGTTGGATCAGAGATAGCTGCATGTCCAGAGGAGGGTGTGTCCCCAGCAGGGAGGAGGGAAGGGCACTGGGCCCGTCACCCATTGTGGCTGGCTCTGCCAGCAATCTTAAATCCTCCTCTAACTTGGACAAACGATCTTTCACACAATTAGTAGAATTCATCTTTTTGCCAAGTAAATTTCCTTGTGAAGAAACCTTCATATCCACTGCAGTTTCAGCTGGCCGTGAGCAACTAAGACTAGGCTCCTTGTCCCCATCTGTGCCAGCCACTGCAAGAACATCTCTGCTTTCTTCTGCATGGGCACGCAGGGCATTCTCAGGTCTCTCGTTGCTCTCCTTCTTCGGGGCAATTGGGATGCTGTGATCCGCTGGGCCTTCCCCGCCTCCTTTGTCTAACACGCCATCAAAGATGAGGTTTTTGTTGACATAAAGCTTCACATTCTTGGCACCAATGTCAAGATCCTGGAAACACAAAATTTAACAAAATGAGGATGTGTGGCATCAGGCGGATGTATCAAATTTGGAAGGAGAAGATACCAGCACAGAAAAACACGCAAATGCTAGGAATGTGAGCCTTCTAAAATGTTGGCCCTGGGGATGTTAAAAAAGACTCCATCTCCTGTCTGTGCCATGTGCATTTATCCCTTATAAAATCAAAGGACTTTCACAAAGAGATGGCCTCAGTCACTGCCTCCGTCATCCGGACCTCCTGTTGGGACATTTGTTCTGACTGGGCTCCCTGCTTTCTGGCTCTTGCTGCTTCAACCTCAGCTTCATGTTGCCACCTGAGGTAACTCTCTCCAGGAGCAAATCTGCCTTTCCTTTGTGAATCCATCATAGGTTTTCATCACTAACTATAGCAACATTTTAAAAAAGCATGGCTCCTCAGCCAGGCGTGTCAGAAAAGCCTGAGGCACATAAATTGCAGACTGCAGGCTGCATGAGAGTCTCACTTGGATGTCTTGAGAGCAATCTGAGCCGAGAACCCAGCACAGGTAACTGATGTGGCAGATGTTTAGAAGAGGAAGTATGGAGAGTAAGACAGGGCAAGAGAAACCGCCCAGAAGGGTTTGAGCTAAAGTGGGCAACTGGGGCTGTTTCCTGCGGGGTCCTCCAAGGAAGCCACAGCACGGACCTCCTGATCTCTCTCCAAAGGCCGTGAGGGTGGACGTTTTATCCATGCACGGCTGCCTCTGTGCACACGTCAGTTCCCATGACAGGCAGTGTAGCAGGCAGTTGAGGCTCAGCTCTGTCACCAAACCAGGGATCACACAGCTGAGGGGTTGTGGGGTGTGTGCCAAGGCCATGGCCTCAGTGGTGACTTCAAGGAATCTATGAACTCCTAACGCGTTTTCCAGATAATGCCTTTGCACAAAGGATGGAGAATGCACGTGAGGAGTTCCAAACCACTCAGCAAGTCACACCGTGATCTTCACAAAGCGCCCCTGCCTTGTTTTCCTGTCTCCTTTTCCCCCAGCACACATGTGCCTGTGTCATGCAGCTGTTCCACACTTCACTGTTCACGCCTGAAACAAGATCACAAGCCTTCTCCTGCTGCTTGCCCACCAGTCTCTGTCTCTTCCCCGAAGACTCCTCTTTCCCAGCTCTATCAGGAATATCACCCATCTGCACCGGCCACATTTACTGTGTAACTAACTTGGTGAGTTCTAACATGTGCATATGCCATTCAGCCAGGGGACTATCTCTACACTCAACACAATGGACACGTTCCCAAATTTCCTTCCTACCCTATGGTGGCCCCTCCACTCTACCACACACATGCCATCACTATTGATAATCCATATTTTCTAGATTTTTTTAATATAAAAGGACTCAGAAATTCCTTTTTGCCTGGCTTCTTTTGCTCAGCATAATCACTCTGAGATTTACCTGAGTCATGTGAATCAAGTGTTTTCTTTCTTTGTATCGCTGAGGGGCACCCTATGACCTGTTCATCATCCCGGCAGTGAAATCTGGAGAAACTGTCACCGCACACCTTTCCCCTTGCTCTTGACCTTGCTCCTATTAGGCTTTGCACCAAGTTCTACATAGCAAGGGACCAATGACTAGGGCAAGGGACCATTCTTGCTTGTCAGGAATGAGTCTGACTTATACCTGCTGTTTTGTGTAATCGCTAATAGAGTCCTCCTTTCACTCTCAGAAGGCTCCTTTTGGGACAATAAATTACAGGGTCTAGCAGTCTGCCTAATGGGGGAGTCTTGGTCCGCAGGTCCTGTGGCAGCCTGGCCACTGTTTCTTCTTCACAGCCTCCATCCCTAGGCTTCCACAGCTCCATACCTGCTTGTTTTTGCTCCTGCCTTGCTGGTACCCGTCGCCCAGGCTTCTGGGTGGATGTCCTGCCACCTGGCTGGGTTAGGACCAAGTCTCCTGATTTTACTGTGCTCACTTACCACCGGGTAACACCTAAGCTGCTAAATCTCATGCAGGCCCTGATGACTCCCAATTATTTGATTCTCTAACCATGACTTCTCTACTGAACCCAGGTGACCATCTGACCTCTCTTCTTGAGTGTCTACTAAGCATCTTGACCTTGATATGCCCCAAACAATTCTTCATTAATTTTTCCCAAATCTAGTCTTCTTCCCATCCTTAACCCAGGTCTACCATTCAGCCAGTTGCCAGAAACCTAGGAGTCCTGTCAATGTCCCTAATTCATCCCATCTGTCAACATGTCCCTTGGCTCATTTTCCAAATGTGCCCCAATCTACTGCCCCAGCCCAGGCCACCAGCATGTTTCCAGAGATATGTCTACTGCCTCGTAATTGGTCTCTCCGCTTCTGCTCCACAATGTCATCTCCACCTTCCCCTGTGAAACATACCATGTTTCATTTTCTATGCAGCAGCCAGAGTCTTTTTAAAAACAGCTTCAATCAGATCATGGAAACCCCTGCTGAGAATTGGTGACTTCCACCACACTGATGAGAATCCTGGCTCCTGTTCAGCCCCGGGCCGATGTGATATGGCCCTGCCTGTCTTCTGGCCAGCTCCTGTTCACTCGTTCCTGGCCGGCTGGTCTGACCGCTGCTCCTTGATATCACTTGTACTTTTCTGAACATTGTGCACTTGTCTGGAATGTTCTGCCCTGGATACCTGCAGCCCTGATCCTTCTTGAATTTGGCAGTCCTCCCTGGCCACAGGCTCTGGAGCAGCCACCATTTCACCATTTCTCTCTGCATCCTACTGCACTGTTTCATTTCTCTTTCATCTCTGAAATGGTCTCATTCACCTGCTTTCTAATCTATGGTCTCTCCCACTTGAAGTTAAACTCCTTGACAGTAGAGATCCCACCATCTTGTCAGAGGGCCTGGTATGTTGCAGGCACTCAGCTTTGGGATAAACATGGGCATTTTCCTCCCCTGCCAGCCCTGCTCTGTAAGAGTCAATGTGACCAGAATGATGGTGGCCTGTTGGTTTCACCCCCAGGTCATTTCCCTCTTGCTTTGGCTTCTGATCTGCTATATGAGATCTGAGATGCCAACCTTATCCCCCAGCCCTTAGCCTTCCTACAAGCTAGATGAGTAAGCTCTAACTACATTTCTACACCACTGAGTTGCATAGGTTTCTGGAGCCATGTGGGATGAGAAGCTCCCAGCCTGGGTACCACTGCAGGAACTCAGCTTCAATCATCCAATTGCAGGACGGCAGGCTACTATTTGCTGGCTGTCAGAAAAGTCGATTCTCAAAGAACTCTTTTACATGTTTATACGGATGTGCTTTCTGTTTAGCAGAGGCACAGAGCAAGTCGTGCTGTGAATTAATCAGGAAATAGCTATTTGAGAAGGACAGCACGGGCAGCTTTCAATGACTAGCTCTGTGAAATTACCACCATGGAAACATCTGGTGAGACAGAAACACTCATTTAAAGAGATGGTGGGGTGGAGGGGTGGCCTTCTAGACCAGCATGGTCATGAGGTGGACATCCTAGCTTTCTTAATGAAATGCCTGGCTGTCAACATACATCCAGTTCCCTTCCATGAACAGTCTGGAGCCCCACCTGGCCTCCTGCCTTCCACCACTCAACAGCTCTCCCCAGGAAATCTGCCTGAGAGAGGATGGAGTGGGAGTGAGCGGAGGCAGGGCAGGTAGGTAGGAGAGGCATGGGCTCAGGGGGAACTGCAGGAGGAGGAAGCGGGGAGGGAGAGGAAGCTTCTGTCCTGCTTGATGGTGCTCAGACCTGAGATGTTTCCAGCATGCCGTGGGCCAAAGAAGCCACACATATTTGGCCTGAGGATTGCTAGGATGGGATCCTTGGAAAGGGACAAGTATTACTCACTTCCCTGAATACTCCAAGTTCAAATAGAACACTGCACTGCTCCATGTGGTCCTCAGGACGCCTTGCAAGGTAGGTGCCAAGTCCCTGTCTTACGCATGGAGAAACTGAGGCTGTTGCTTTTCCCAAGATCACCCAGCTGCTTTACAGCGAGCCACTCTGGCTGGCACTCCTGAGGTCTCAATGGCCACTCTTACCTGGGGTCCTGTCTTGGCCAGTGTGAGTGTGGCTATGGGCAGTGTCACCTGCCCCAGTGGAACTGAGTCCTCAGTTTTAAGATTTGGTACTGAAGGACAAACTGTCTTGTGCCTGCACACCGAGCCTTCCTCCCTGGGCAATCACAGGGGCCAGCCGTGGTCATGGCGAGTATGTGTGTATGTGCTCATCCTCTCAGACTTTGTCTACACACAGTCGCTTCTCAGCACTTGTGGGAGATTTATGCGAGGACCCCTGTGGATTCCAATGTCCTCAAATGCTCAAGCCCCTTACATAAAATTGCATACATTTCATTTGCATATAACCTACACATATCCTCCCATAGACTTTAAATCATGTCTAGATTTCTTGTAATATCTACCACAATGTAAATGCTGTATAAATAGTTGTTACAGTGTATTATTTAGGGAATAATGATAAGAAAAATGATACTCGGTGAGACATGTTTTATTTTTCTAAGTATTTTCTACCCGAGGTCAGTTGACTTTGTACATGCAGAGCCTGGAGATATGAAAAGCCAGTGTATTTATAGAGAGATCAGTGGCGTAAACATCGTTAGACCCCCCAGGGCTATCCAGGAAGCTGGATGAGAGCCACATCTACACCCTAGACGAACAGGCATGGGACTCTGCAAGGCTGCCTCCCTAAGGAAACTGTCAGGGCTGCCCTGGATAAGGGCTGTCTGTGGGGGTGAAAGGGGAAATTTCACTCCTAAAGGACCAGCCCACTTCCTCCTTGCCCGCCACCAGGGATTTACCCCCAGGCTCTCTCTCTTTTTCTTTGCCCTGGAACTCAGGTAGTCAGGCAGAATCCACCTCGTCCACTCCCTCACCCTTAGGACCATTTGTGTGTGTGTGTGTGCATGCAGCATGCACATGTGCCCTTCTGCTTTCCTTGGTATAAACACGTCTTCCCCTTGTTTGGCTGGAGTTAAAGTGACACCTTTTGCTGATGC